CTGAAGGGTCTCGTGACTAGGGTTTTACTTGACAGTAATAAATGACCTCTTCCTAACAATAGCGAGCCCCCTCAAGGTCCTGGAAACCTTGCTTCCAAAATTCCTTAAGAGACTTAAGTTACTCCTAATCCCCTCTCAACTTGAAAGTGTTTAATGGGCCTCTCCTCATGACCCCTGGGCAGCTCTTTCTGCCCAGGGGCCTGTCCCCAAGCTTCAGTAAAATCACATTTTTGCACCAAAGAATTCTCAAGAATTCTTTGTTAGCCAGCCCAAACCCTAACATCTTTCCTACATCAGTACTTACACTTAAAACCCAGTTCCAATCCTACTTCCTCCTGAGGATTTCCCTGGGGCACTGACTAAACTCAGTACTCTCTCTCTTAGTCATCTAGTACTGGTTAGCTCTCCTACTAGTCAGTGATAGTTTGTTGTTTGGGAATATTTTAATTTACTATGTAATAGTATTTATAGTTATTTTCCATGTGCATATGTGACTTACCCATTTCAAGTGCAAACTCATTGAAATTTAAAATTATAACAATTGACCCCAATGCTCAGCAAGGCAGCTTGCATAGGGTAGACAGACTGTGGTTCCCAGCTGGTGAGAGATATGTAGGTGCAGTGCGTTTTCTCTGGGCCCAGAGTTCAATCTGCAAGACTCAGGGGGCCTATAGGGTTCAATTATGTTAAGATCACATGCCTTAATTTCTACATTTGCTTTCTCTTCGCCCATCAACAAGTCCCAGAAAGCCCAGGAAGACTGTAGGTATGGGGAAGGAGAAAAACCTCGAAAAATCTTCCAACATCAGGTGCTCCTTCGGCTGGTGCTATGGGGGTGCGATGGGAAGGAGAGAGAAAAGAAGAGAAAGACAGAAAAGAGGCATCACTAAAAAGGAATGGGAGCATGCCTCCTTCATAATGTTGCCAAGCCTTCTTGATTTAGTGGCATAAAAGAAGTATTTAATGACAAAATTTAATGTTTATTTCGCAGCACAGTCGTGGCAGACAGAATAATGACCCCTCAAAGACGTCCAGGTCCTCATCTCTGGGACCTGTGCATATGTAATTTTCAATGGCACAACAGACTTTGCAGATGGGATTAAGATATGGGTCTTAAAATGGGGGAGATGATCCTGGATTATCCAGTTGACTGCAACGTAATCCCAAGAGTTTTTGCAAGTGAAACAGGGAGAGCTGGAATCAGAGTTGCAGAGAGATATGTTGTTGGTTTTGAAGATGGAGAAAGGGGCCAAGAAATGCAGGCAGCCTCTAGAAAAGATGGAAAAGACAAGAGAACAGATTCACAGGAACAGGGCCTGCCGATGTATTGAATTTAGGTCCATGAGTGCCATATCAGACTTCTAACCCACGGAATTGTAGGATAATAAATGCGTATTTTTTTTAAGCAACCAAGTTCAAGGTAATTTGTTACAGCAGCTGTCGGAAACTAAAACAAGTGCAATATATGGAGCATTTTGTGGGGAAGACCTAAGCGGGCTGCTCAACGTCAGTGGGGGATCTCAAGGGAAGGTTTCCCTGTACATACTGAATAAAGTGAACAGGAATTTCCAGGCGAAGAGGAGGGGAAAGAACATTCTCGCCTATGGGGTGAGGGTGTGCTTATGTGGGGAATTAGGGCAAAATGGAACATAAAGGGAGAAACAAGAGAGGGTTTGGAACAGTACAAACCATTCACCTTGCTGGCAAACAATGTGGTGATGTGGCAAGAGAGGAAGCAGGAGGGATGGAGGTGGGTGACTTCTCTGCCCGGGGGAGGGGCTTAGGCTTTAAACCCAAGGTCCTTAGGAGGTTTTAAAGAATGGTAGTGGTGGTGGTGTGGTGGGTGTGTGTGTGTATTGGGGGAGGGGCAGAGCTGAAATGACATGGTAGGATTTGCATTTGAAAATACATATTACATATAATTTCCTTTTAGCAAATAACCCCCAAACAGAAATAAACAACAGTGATTTCAAATATGAGCCCCAGTCTGAATGCCACAAGGCAGAGGCTCTGAATGTGGGCGCTTGATTCACGGTCCGAGCCACTTTTAACCCGGACAATAATGTGTAGTGTCCTCCAAGAGGCAAGACTGTATCTGCTACTTTGTTCTCCGTCCCCCAAATCCTTCCTTTTTAGTGAACCCCGACACAAGGTCAGAGCATTTATTCAGTGAGGGTGCTGAGGGTGGTTTGAGGTGCTTTGTCCCTACAACCCAAGCCATTCCAAAACATACATAATACTAATACCAATACTTTTTTAAAAATGTGGATAACCATAGGTAAAATGTGAAGAAAAGCAGCTTTAGAAAATATGGCTATTTAAAATGATTTATGTATATTCTGACATAAAAATAGCAATCAAATGCTACAGCTATAAGAGAAATCCATAAACATTGATCTGCCTTTCCTCAATTTCCACCCTCTGAGACATACCACTGGAGTTTTAAATTTAAGGATGGTTTATGGGTTTTCCTGGGCAGCACTATTATAGGTTGCTAATATTTTATAGTTCCATAGTCTCCTTAATCCTGAGTGGTTCTCTGCTCTCCTCCCCAGAAAGTTATTAAAATTATTTGGGTAATAGCCATTTAGAAAACTATGAAATACAGTCAGTACTTGATATTGATTAGAATGATTAGTTTCAGTTAGAGTCCCTTCTCCCTCCAGGAAAATGCACAGAAGTCTCACCTTTACCTCTGATCTTGTCCATTTCTCTGGGATATGGTGGGACTTAAATACAAAATGGAAAACATTTAGTTTTCCAAAATGGAAAAACACAAGTATTATTATTTTTAGTAACTTTGTCAAAAATGCTTAAAAAGTAGAAAACCTCTTCATTCCGTGGTGCTGGATTACTCACTGGGCACCCCTCCTGTGTTTACCCAGCAAAACTCGGACTAATGGAGTAGATTTCCCTCTCCGAGAAAGGTTAAGGCCAGAAAGACAGGTGAGGGTCACAGAACGCAAGGCAGCGTCCCAGATTCCAGCTCTGAAGGAGGAAATGTAGTGTTTACAGGACCAGCTTGCAAGTGCAAACAGGAGCAATCCAAAGCAACATAACAAAGGATCCTCAACAGCAGGATTTCTTCAATGTTTAATGCAATTATAAACACCCATGGCTAACTTTGGAACATGATTTGTCTATAAATATCCATTTATCTATTAGAACCACAAGGATTAGTTGACCAAAATTTACCTAAGGAAACATCAACTTTCACTTCTCCAGTTGGGTCCCAAACTACAAGTTCATCTGTTAGGAAAACAAACAGACAAAACAACAATTTTCCACCCCCCCCCTCACCTTTTTTTCCCCAGGAAGATTCAGAATAGCTCTCAGATATTAGAGGACTGTTTCAGTTTTCTGTATCTGTTAAATGTGAGAGGGGTGGAGCCAATAATTAGTGAGGTTTTTATCCCCAGTCCCTAAATGTTTATGAACTTCCAAAGGGACACAGGAACCAACCTGAAAGAGCTCCCAAGAGTCAAAGCTGGAACAATTTGAACAACATCATACATAATGTGGTATTGAATTATAGCTCCAAGTATAAAATGAATATGTATGAGTCCATGCTGATATAATAAATGATCGAATAGGTCAATAAATGGGAGAGGAGGAATAAATCCTCCTTATAGAAATATTCCAATAATATATGTAGATAGCCCCTCCCACCCCCAGATGTTGTTTCATTCCCCCACTCTCCTCTCCTGATACAGGTTGAACTTAGTGACTCCCATCCAAAGAAAAGAGTATGGAAAAAGAAAAATAGTAACTGTGCAGTAGAGAAAGAAGGCAGATAGCTACTTCAACCAAGCGATAAAAATTAGTATCACCGGCAGTTAAGTCATGTTGCTATCATGTACCCTGGTAGGAGGCTGTGATGAGAAAGGCACTTTCCCATTGTGGTCTTTCTCCACCAAACCCATAACCACAGTCTCATCATGAGGAAAGCAACAGACAAAACCAAATGAGAGATACCCACAAGACAGCTTAGCAGAATTCTAGAAAATGATCAAGAAAAACAAGAGTTAAGAAACTGTTACAGGGCGCCTGGGTGGCTCAGTTGGTTAAGCGACTGCCTTCGGCTCAGGTCATGATCCTGGAGTCCCGGGATCGAGTCCCGCATCGGGCTCCCTGCTCGGCAGGGAGTCTCCTTCTCCCTCTGACCCTCCTCCCTCTCATGCTCTCTGTCTCTCATTCTCTCTCGCAAATAAATAAATAAAATCTTAAAAAAAAAAAAGAAAAGAAACTGTTACAGACCAGAAGAGATTAAAGAGACATGACACTAAATGCATTGTGGAACCCTGGATGGGATCCTGGTACAGAAAGACATTAGCAGAAAACTAGTGAAATCTGTAACAGGTTGAGTTTAGTTGATAGTAAGGGACCAGTGTTCATTTCTTAGCTTTGACAAATGTACTATGTACTATGCACACGCTTACGTGCACACGTACAGACGTAGGATGTGAATATTAGGGGGCACCGGCTGAAGGGTTTAGGGAACTCTGGACTCTCTCTGCAACTTTTTCTTTTCTTTTTTTTTTTTTAAAGATTTTATTTATTTATTTGAGAGAGAGAGAATGAGAGAGAGCAAGCACATGAGAGGGGGGAGGGTCAGAGGGAGAAGCAGGCTCCCCGCCGAGCAGGGAGCCCGATGCGGGACTCGATCCCTGGACTCCAGGGTCATGACCTGAGCCGAAGGCAGTCGCCTAACCAACTGAGCCACCCAGGCGCCCTGCAACTTTTTCTTAAATCTAAAATTACTCCAAAATAAAAAGTTTTATATCCTCAACAAAGACAGAAGTTCCTGAACTGAGAGTGCAGACAGAACCTTCTTCAAAAACAGCAACATCTGCCCCCTTGTATCTCTCCACCGACAGGAGCGCAGCGTTGGGGACCGGGGGGCGGCTGCAGGGAGCGCACACCCGGGTGCGTGCAGCAGGGCGTGCGCGTCCTAGCGCGGCGGCAGCGCGGGCTCCTCCCCGGAGTCTCCCAGGCGCCGGACTCCGGCCGGGGCGCACCCGACGGGGCGGAGCCCAATCGACGGCGGCGGAGCCACCGACGCCCCGCGGAGCCGACCGTGGCGGCGGGCGGGAGAGCCAGGTCGGGACCCCCGCGCGCTCCAAGGTAGGCGAGCCCCCGGCGACCCGCGAGCTCAGCCCTTGCGGCGCGCGCCTGGTCACCCCCTCCCGCCCCACCCCCGGTGAGCGGACGTCCGGGGCCCTCAGAGCCGGTTCCCCCAGCGCAGCGCAGCGCAGCGCAGCGCACCGACGGCAAAAACAGGTTCTTGGGGAGGAGGCTACTCCTCCCTGTATACCTCTCTCTCTGTTCTGGGCGAGAAGTTCCCGATCCCCCGGGCGAGAAGTTTCGGCTCCTCTCGGAAGAGAAAGAGCTGCCTTTCCCCGGGAAAGGATAACCCTCCTTTCGCCCGCTGCGCATCTGGTTATTTATTTGGGTGACTGTTTTGCAATCCCTTTGCCAGGGGTCTCCGAGAGTGAGCGGACCGGAAGACTTGCTGTCCCCTTGTGGCAGCTTCGACAGGTCACTGGCCGCAATTTTTAAGAGCACAAATGAATGAATAAAGGTGGTGGTCTTACCCTCCCTTCGTTACCGCTGGCTTCTGTAGCTGCAGGTACGTATTCCAAAAGGAGAGCAGCCCATTGGCTGACAGTTTTCTACTGCCCTGGGATTTTAGAGCTGGAAGTTACAGAGCTCTTGGCAGGTGCGCAAAGGGGCATTGTTATCTTACTGAAGAATATAGTACAGGACAGTGTAAGGATAGTTGTTAGACTGAGTGAAGACATGGCTGTAAATTTTTCACCCTTCTTCAAAAGAGGGGAGAATATATATATGTAATATATATAAAAATATATATTATATATAAAATATATAAGAATACATCGTGTATATGAAATATATAATATATAGATATGTAAATATAAAAACATAATATATAAATATATGTATAATATATATATTATATATAGATTATATATTATATATATTATATATAGATTATATATTATACATATATATTATATCTATATATACATATATAGATATGTAAATATAAAAACATAATATATAAATATATATAAATATAAACATATATGTGTATATATATATTTATAAAATAAGGATCAGAAGAAGCAATTAGCCCCAAACATAACAGAGCTGTGTCTGTTTACCATTATACTATAGTTGTTTTATTTTAGGAATCAAAACTTTATTATCTTGGTATATATAGACTAGATAAAGCATCAAAGGGAATTATTCTGCATTTGCAATAAGGAAAAGATAATCTGCCCTTTTGACTTTACCTAATGCTATTAAATATTCAGTTGTGCAGAAGTCTGGTTTTTCAGAAATATGATCTGAGCCACAGTCTCAGGTACCCTGGCAGACACAGTTTGTGCTTTGTTTCCTGTTACTGGCCTGTTCCCCACCCTCTCCCCTCCCCCACACTGAGAGTTTTAGAGTGAAGGTCCCTGACACAGAGGAATTTGTGCCTGAGGCAGGGTGTACCCTTGTGGTTCCTCAGCTACTTACAGAAAGAATGAAAACATCTTATACTTCCTGCAAATTTCTTAAGGTTCCTGTCTTTGTGATTTGCTGAATAAATTTCGTTAACTAAACCTACACTAATGAAAAAGAGACTTTTGAAATAAACACACTATTTCAGTTATATCATTCCCTTTCATAATTTTATGAAATAATAACAGGCATGTTATTTGTTAGCTGATTGATTTACAATGTGCTGGACAGTGGGCTTAGTTGTAGTCCAAATTCTGGCCGAAGCTGAAAAATTAGGCATATATTTATTTGTTTGGATCATGACTGAAAAAGGAAAGAACTGAAGGTTTTGAAAGGAATCTAAAAGTCTTTCAAAGTCTTGGCTTCGAATCTTCTGAACTGAGATAGTTATATCAAAATTATAGGCCGTTTATCAATAGAAAATAAATTCATAATGGCAAAATGTTACTATCAACTTAATAACATGTTTAAGTGAATTTGCATTTTACTAAGCATGAAAACAGCCAGCTACATGGGTTTGGAAAACAAAAGCATGAGTGTGTGCACATTCAGTTTTAGAAAATATTTGGTGCATGTGTGGATTTGTGGGCCCATTCATGCATTGGTTGAGCACCTGTTGCGCAGAGCACTTTGTTTTGAGTTCAGATTGGGAGGGAGGGGTGGATACAGCGATGTGTAAATAAGTCACATTCCTGTCCTCATGGAATTTGCACAATGCTGGAGTCCTCCAGGACACCTTGAGATCATAGATAAGAACCGTATCAGTGATCATCTACCAGTTTTGACAGTGACTGAAACTAGATTATCTTCAAATCACATACTCTCTTTCACCAGTTTAAATAGTCAACTCTAAAATTATAAAGGAACTTATATATTATTCAGGTCAGTGTTTTTCTCTTTTGCTTAGATTGGGGAAAAATTTAGGAATCACATGTTCTGGGTTAAATATTAAGAAAAATTGAGATGTTAAGTCTGAAATAGCTAAATATCAATTTCATGCAAATTAAATAAAAACTGAGCTTGTAGCAGTGGGTGCCAATAATTTAGCATATAAATCAATAAATGAAAAACTTCAAATTGAGAAAATTCTATCCATCACATTGTTTTTTCCTGTAAATTAGAAAAATATGACTGTAATTATATTTTGCCCCAGTGGAAAAGACTTACTTTGTCCAAGGCATTCTTGCTTTTTGTTGTTGTTGTCGTTGTTGCTGTTTTTAAAAAAACAGCTTTATTGGAAGTATAATTTACATACCATAAAATATATCCAAGTGTACAATTCAATGATTTTTAGGAAATTTATGGGATTGTGCAACCGTTACCACAACCCAGTTTTAAAGCATTCTCAGCATCCCCAAAAGACCCCACCTTCCTATTTGTTACCCCCAGACAACCACTAATCTGGTTTCTCTCTCTTTAGATTTGACTTTCTGGACATTTCACACAAATGGGATAATACAATAGATGGTCTTTCGCATGTGGCTTCTTTCACCTAGAACCAGTGGTTTTGAGGTTCATTCAGGGTGTAGCATGTTATCAGTAGCTTGTTCCTTTTTATTGCTAACTACTATACATTCCATTCTATGGCTGGTTCACATTTTGTTCACCAGTTGGTGGGTAGTTCTGCATTTACATTTTAAGTGGTAAGACAGATACTTTGGTCCAGCTTCCCTGGTAGCATAATTAGAAAATAATTGATAGGAGCCAAACTCTTATTTATATTTACGAAAAATACAGTCCTGGTATGGATTACTGCTATTTTCTGTGATCTTTCTGTGATACTCCCATGAAAATAGTAAATAGTAAACCCTGTGCAAATAGCAGAAAACATCAATCATTTGGTATTCTAGGTTGGACTTAGAAGATGTTTTGCTCTTGACATTCATATTTGCAAAGAGAATTCGTATCTCCTTTGCTATATTTTCTTCACAAATGATGCAGTTAGAGTGGGTGAATTTTGTTGATTGTTTGACCTAACAGTGATAACTGAAGTACCCTTAAAAATCTGAGTGTTTCCTAATAACATATTTTAATGGCCCACTTAACATAAAGCATGAGTCATCTATTTCCTTAAGCCTTAAAAAGTTGAAGGGAGTGAATGTGAATTTATATGCTTTTAGTTTTATTATTCTATGGTTTCTATGACTGTGCTAAAGAATAAAACATACAGCTGTTTATTTACAAAATGAGGCACTAGTTTGAGCTCTTAGATCAGTGAAAATCTAAAACAAAACAAAACAAAAAGGTCCCACTTCTTTTTTCTCTGGGACCTTTCTAAGGAGCTAGAACAAAATTATAAATCACTCCAAGTTCCTCTTAAGTGGTGGTGTTTTTCTGTGTGTCGTCCAGAGAACAAGCCAAATCAGAACTTTCTCACACTGCAAAAGCATTGACCTTTGAATTACCTTTCTTAGGAATCAGGAACCTTGAACAGCAGTTCGGTTAGAGCTGTTCCCTTGCACACCCCCATTCACCCTGCTTTGTGCCAACTACTACAGCAAATGCATTCTTAGGAGGCTATGCTTGGCAACTTATGCTTAAAGATCCTCTTAGAAGGATTTCTCTGGTTGAGTAGAAACCCTTCTAGAAAAAGCTGGCAAATTCTGTGAAACTAAAGAGAAGACAATATGTCTCTTCATGCCTGCAAGTTACTGCTGAAATTACACTTTCCTACTGGGGAAAAAAGAGCATTAATATAACTTGAAGGTCTATTTTATTGACAACTTAGAATGGGAAGGATTTTATTTTTAAAATTCTAAAATTTGAAAACAAGATAGTCTAGATTAAATAATGTAGTTTTCCAAAGCTGAATGTGCTCATTTGGAACTCAGTTTTTTCTGCTTGGAATATCAGAACAACTTGCTGAAATCCCTGGGTGGGAACAGTGTGCTTTTGATGATCTGTGATTGGATCAATTAATCAGTCTCTACTGCTAATGTCCTTTTTTTTTTTTTTTTAACTTGGTAAGGGTTTAAAAATCTCTAGAACAGGTGCATTTTTCCAGACTTCCACTGACAATGTCATTCCAAATGTCTCCTAAGAGTCATATACCCTTGACAGGAATCTGTCTCCATCCTTCCCACTTTCATATGCTCTGAAATTGGCGGGGATATGCTCCCCCCAAGTTGTGTCTGTTCACCTGCAGGAGGAAGGCTTGATCAGCATTGAGCTGTGAGAGTCTACGAATTATTTTGATGAGCTCACTCACTCATCACTCATGATGATGTGATCTGTTATAAGGAACTAGGTTTTACCCAGAGCCAGAAGCTGCTCTCACCCTGGTTATCTTTCTGTGAGCTCCGGTTTGGGGAGGATGCTGCACTGAGCGTGTGCATCAGTCTGACATCTTCCTGCCATGGGAAGGTCCTCACTGCTGCCGGTGGTGGCCATCCTGGACAGACTTTGGAGTCGCTAACCCAGTAGTCTACGTGCAAATGGGCCGTGGTGAAGAGTGGAAACATGTTATGCAGCTAGAAAACGATTAAGAAGGGGATGGGTAGATGAGATGAGGAATTCTAGGTTCATGAATTAGATTTAAATCTTGTCGTGGCAAATACTCTTATGTACTTCTTGTATACTTCTATAGATTTCCTCCTACTTTTCCACTTTAGTGAATAATAAGTGTGGTTAACTTTCGTAAGATGTTTAGGATTTTCCTGGGGCTCCTCTGTCACCATATTGAATGTCAGGCTCCCCTGGCTATTCTTGTGGCAACAATGGTTCTACTTTACCTTTTAACAATCCTGATTCCATCACTGTTTTGTTTTGTTTTGTTTGCCATTTACATTGTTTGGGGGTCAATAATTTGAATAAAGGGAAACAAATCCAGCTAATTGTGACTTCCAGTTAGTGCTGATAAAATCAGTGAAGGCCCTTGGCTTTTGAAATCTCAGTTGTACTTTGCTTTCTCTAGGCTGCTGTTGCATGATTATTATTTTTAAAATAAAAGTATATAAGTTCACCCCTTTTAGCACAGAGTTCTGTTAGTTTTGATGAATGGTTACAGTCATGGAACCACCATCACCATCAAGATGTAGAACAGTTGTGGGGCACCTGGGTGGCTGAGTCAGTTAAGCGTCTGCCTTCGGCTTGGGTCATGATCTCAGGGTCATGATCTTGGGGTCCTGGGATTGAGCCCCACATCAGGCTCCCTGCTTAGTGGAGAGTCTGCTTCTTCCTCTCCCTCTGCCCCCCCCCACACACTCCCGCTCATGGGCTTGCTCGCTCTCTTTCTCAAATAAATAAATAAAATCTTTAAAAAAAGATATAGAACAGTCATGTTTCCCCCCCCAAAACAATTCCCCTGTGTCCCCTTTGTAGTCAATCCCTCCCCCACTCCCAGTCCCCAGGTAACCACTGATCTATTTTCTGTGCCCATAATTTCGAATTTTCTAAATCTCATACAAATAGAACTATAGAACGTAGCCCTTTGGATTTAGCTATTTTCGATCAGGAAAATGCTTTGGAGATTGATCTACATTGTGTGCATCAGTACTTCATTCTTCTTATTGATGAGTAGGATTTACCTTTGGAGGAATATTTGAATTTTTTCCAGTGTTTGACAATTAGAAACATTTGTGATTTATGGGACATAGACCTTCATTTCACTTAGGTAAATACCTAGAAGTGGGATTGCTGGGTTGTACAGTGAGTGCTTAACTTTATAGGAAACTGCCTTAGGGTTGTCCAACGTGGCTGCCCACTTTGCATTCCCATCAGCATCAGACAGGAGTTCTAGCTACTCTGCATCCTCATTCACACTTACTGTTGTCTGTCTTTTACCTCCCTTACAGGATAATTTTTTAAATGAAGTAAATTATGTTGGAGCTAACATATTCCAGGATGAGTTTAGGAAGCTAAAGATATTTTGTGGATTCCCGAACCTTTCACTCTTAAAATATTTTATAGTTACAGGAGAAATTTTCCAAAAGGGTACCTTCCTTTTAAATGTTACAAATGACTAAAATATATGTCATTGACATGTTTCTTTTCATATTCTTGTCACAGACAAATCCTAGGTGGTTTTGAGTTGATTGTTAACTGAGGTCAAAACAGGAGGAATAGTTGACGGATGGGGGTGATGGCGGGGTGGGGAGGGGTGGATAGTGAGGGGACAGCTGGGCTTATGCTTCGACACTTCCAAACGATGTCCTATATGCAAATGTCCTTAATGGGCTGTGGATTTCAATATGATTATTTAATATTCTTTGTGCGTGATGGGTCAGACACTTCACGAAGCATTTTTATGCACTGTCCCGTTTAATCCTCATACAACTCTGTGACAAATTCAACAGTTGCATCTGAAATTTTCAGTTGGGGAAGCTGAAGCCTGGGAAGTTTGAAACTGTTCCCAGGCCACCCAGCTAGTGGGAAGTAGAAGAGCCTCGTGGACAGCACCGACCAAGTCCTAAGCCGCCATTTTTAAGCCATGAAGCCATACCGCCCCTGTCCGTGGAATAAATCTATTGGGACAAAAATATCTGCTCTTGCTCCTGAAGGACACACCGGGGAGCTCACAGCAGAAGTCACTTGACTGTTACTTAGTGACCTGACTACTAAACTAGCTCGGGCCCAAGAAAGTAGGCTTAGAAATCCACTCAGAATAGAAGGCAAGGTGGTAAGATGGAAAGAACCAGCAAACTCAGGCTTGAGATCCACGACCATCATTAACTGGCTGTTTTGCTTCATCTTGCTCAGCTATGTTTATTCATCTATAAAATGGAAATAATAACACCGACCTCTCAGAGTGTATGTGAGGATTATTAAAGGAGGTAAACCCTAGCCTGCATGCAGTAGGCTCTCAGCAGACTCTGGTCCCTTCTCCCCAGTGGTTCCCCCAGATGGGAACGGATTCATGTGATTTTTTTCCTTTTTTGCAGTTTCGTTGCTATACTGGGCACTGGGTGAAATCTTCAGCTGTTTTCAAAATTTCAAATTATGCAATGAACAAAGAAGATAGATTATTTCATTACAAAGACACCTCGATCTAAGGTCAGTCTGTCTGGGTTCAGGTGGAGAGGTCAATTGATGACCGTGAAAAACTTGAATCACTGTTCTGGGACTTGGTTGCCTTATACATACATACATGGGTGGATTTAGATACAGCTATAGATATATAGATAATAGGTATAGTGGTACAGTATGTTGTAATGATTAATTTTGACAATATACGGAAACTGATTTAGTAAATGGCACAGTGTTCGTCAATCCCATTTATTTGTATATTGCGCGTGTGCCAGTATTTCGATCCTTTTTTCAAAATCAATGACTTTTATTTCCTATCTAAGAGCTTTCTATAGTGTTGACTATGATGTAAATATCTGTTTGTATATAAATGAGTGTCACAAATGAATAAAATTAATTCTACTTAAAAAAATCTTAGATTATTACTTGAAAACAATGTCATTATTACTGGAGCTGAGGGTTAACACGCATGTCTTCTTATAGACGCTTCCCTCCAGCATCGCTTTCAGGTAAAATGCACAGTCACCTGAGATTCAGCCAGCTGACACTGGATGTCACCATTGTGCTGTGTAATATAGCTGCAGAACAGGTGTGCTCTTTAATGTTCAAGACACAGTCAGTCTCTTCCAGGGTTTGGACATCTGTTCACGTTCTTTCCCTGCAACATTAAAAGAAAAAGAAAGTGGTAGGTTACACTGTGTACCTTATTGTTCTTAGAACACGACCCTAAGCAAATTCCAGCCTCTTGTCTTGCTGCCCCTTCGCCTGGGACCCTCTTCTCCCCAGCTGGCCACACAGCATCACCTTCTGTCGTTCAGGCCTTTTGCTTAACTGCCACCTCTTCAGAATGGCCTTCCCTCACCACGCATCCAGAACCGTCCAGAACAGCACCTCGTTCTCTTCTGTTTCCCTTCTCTACTTTTCTTCCTCACGCTTGTCGCCACCTCTCAGTACGTTCCCTGTGTGTTCACTGTTTAGTGTAATGTCTGTCTTCCCTCTGCGCTGGAAGTCCCATGAGGGCAAGGTGTCTTGCGCACCTCTGTGGTCCCAGCACCTAACACCGCTGTATTCAATGAATACTTGATCCATGGGTGAATCAATCAAAGGTTAAATAAAGGGAGAAAATACCTTTGTTAGAAGCTCTAGAATATAAGCAGTGCCTGTATTCATTTCCTAGGACTGCTATAACAAAGTACCACTGACTAAGTGGCTTAAACATAGTAATTGCTTGTCTCACGGTTCTGGTAGCTGGAAGTCCAAGATCAAGGTGTTGGCAGGATTAGGTTTTTCTGAGGCTGTAAGGAAGGTTCTGTTCCATGCTTCTCCTCCAGCTTCTGGTGGTTTGCTTGCCATTTTGGCTTTTCCTTGGCAGATAGAAGCATCACCTTGATCTCTACCTTCAGCTTTACATGACATTCTCCTGTGTGCATCTGTGTCCCAATTTTTATAAAAACACCAGTCATATTGGATTAGGGGACCAGCCTACTCCAGTATGACTTCATCTTAACTAATTACATCTGTGATGATCCTGTTTCCTAAGAAGATCGCATTCTGAGATACTGGGGAGTTAGAACTTGAACATATGAATGGGGAGGAAGCAAAATTCAACTCCATAATGGTGCCTCATATGTGTTTATTGTATAATGCATAAACCATTCTTATGTCATTAAACAGAGAAGTAGGTTTAGTTACATTACCCTGGGCACCCAATGATGTGTTGGTTTATTGCACAGATTACAAATAATGTGTATGAATTGCTTTGTAAATTGGAAATTATTCATTAGGTGTTAGCATAATCAGTTGGGGATGTTGATGAATTATTGATGTGTTATTGAGAAAGAACCAATACCATGGATTTGCTAGTCTTAAAATCCCAGAAGCAGATTTTCCTAGCTGGGTCTGCAGACTGTTTAAAATATTACCTAGTTCTTCTCTAATAATCAGATGGCTTATCAGCAATAATTGTGGATAATGGATTCATATTTTATTTACTCATTTGACAAACAGATACAAATCACTTATTTTATGCTGTGAACTGTTTTCGGTGCCCGGAAAATGTTAACTCACAAAAAGCCCTATGTTGTTTATTATTTCTATCATTATTAATTATTAATCTTATCTGGGAATAAGGGAACTGAGGCACAGAGAGGTTAAGAAACTTGCCCACGGTCACACAGCTCCTGAGTGGCAGAGTCAGGCCATGAAACAAGGCAGTCTGCCTCCAAACCTTTTCATTTGTAGAATGTTCCTTCTTCACAGAAAATCTCATGGAAGAATTCAGTGTGTGGCATAACAAAGCAGAACTGCTTTGGTTCAAGTTGAGAATGGCAAAGCCCTGTCTACTTAGCACCTCCCCTCCCCCTGGGAACCCTGTTTGCAAAGCCCCGATCTAGGAAATAACACCTCTTGGCGTGATGCCACTTGTAAGCTGTCTTCAGTCCACTCTAGCATAAAACAAATACAATTCTTTTCTCACTTTAATTAACTGATTGTGTTTTATTTTGAAAATTTTATCTGCCTAATCTACTTCTGGCAGAAATAAAATGCTAAGATGGACTTTCCCTGGGATGGTGATGCCATATGGTAATTTGGACTTTGCTGGTTTAAGTTCACCTTGGCTTTCTTTATACAGATCAAGGACTGTGATCACAAAAATTTCCTGAATCAAAGAGAGAAATGGAATTTGATTTCATTTGAATAGAGTTGGCTATAAACTTCGCAACCAGGTTGGCATAAACCACCCCCTCTGTTATAGGCTGCGTGTGTTCTGTGGTTATTAATAATACTAAAAAATAGGAGCAACGATATTAACCATTACCGTCCATTGAGTGCCTGCTGCAACCAAGGAACTAAAAACAAACAAACTAACAAACAAACAAAACCCTCAGTTTTACAACTCTAGGTGTTTTATCCCTATTTTACAGATATGGGTAAATTGAGGCTAAAATTTTATGTAACTTGTTGAAGATGACCCAACCAGCAAGTAGAAGAGGTAACAGTGTTTTGAGAAATAATCAGTGATTAAGGAGCAGAATTCCTTGATATGAAGAATAAAAGGCACAGAAGAGAATATGTTTAGGATATATAACGTGGGGCCCGAGGTGATTTTCAAATTATGAAAGACTGTGAGAATGCATTTGGGATCCATTCCGAAGAGTGATTCATTCCTATGCTGAAACGCCTCTTATCATTCGTTATTGTACACATTGTGTAACATACTAAAAAGAAAAAAAAAAAGAATGCAAATCAATCAAATGGGACCGTGGATCAGTGGGGGATGGAACTGGAGAACAAAACAGAACTCAGACCAAATTTATTGTTCTGCTCGCCTCTATTTTCCCCCAGATTTTGCTCCCACCCTCTGCTACATCCTAACCCAGGGGTCAGCAAACCTTTTGTGTAAAGGATCGGGTAGTAAATATTTGAGACAGTGCTTGCCACATATTTTCTCTGCCGCAGCCACTCAACTCTGCTGTTATAAAGCAAAAACAGCATAGACAGCATGTAAATGAATGGCTGTGGTTATTGTAGAGTAAACCTTCATGTATGAACACTAAATTTGAACTTCATATCATTTTCATGTAGTGCTTGTTTTGATTTTTGTTTTGTGTGTGTGTGTGCGTGCACGTTCATGTTGGACCATTAAAAAACGTTAGAACCATTGTTTGTTCATAGGTTGTGCAACAGGTGGAAAGCCAGATTGGGTTCCCATGGTTTGGCGACCACCACTCAAGCTTGAACTTCACATTCCCCTCTGGTTTTCAAGCACATTGCTTCTTGTCTCTATGGGTGTTTCTTTTATTTCTTTTTTTTTTCTTTTTTTTTTTTTTAAGATTTTATTTATTTATTTGACAGAGAGAGACACAGCGAGAGAGGGAACACAAGCAGGGGGAGCGGGAGAGGGAGAAGCAGGCTCCCCGCAGAGCAGGGAGCCCGACGCGGTACTCGATCCCAGGACCCTGGGATCATGACCTGAGCTGAAGGCAGTCGCTCAACCAACTGAGCCACCCAGGCGCCCCAGTTTCTTTTATTTCAAATTGCATTTAAATGCTGTTTGGGACCAAGGACTTCATCCGGGAAGAGACTTCAGAGGACCAAGTAGCAGAGGTGCGTGCAGCATATTCTGCGAAAGCTGACTTGCTGCGTTGCCAACGGCCAAATCGACTGCAGGCAACACAAAGAGAAGCCACTGTGGCTGTCTAAGAGGATTTACAATAAAATGGAAAATTCTTGGCGTCCTCTGTCAATTTCATTGATGATTAAATGATAAATTCAGGACTTAGAGTTATCCTAGCCTAGAGATATCCTAGCTATCTAGTTTTAAAGTGATGCTAGCAAATGTGAAAATTCTTTGTGTGTTTTACCAGCAGAGGTCATTGCTAAATTTTAAATATTTTTGTTGTTTTTTTTCTCACTAGGGAAGCCAGCCTTAATGTGATAGAAACACCCTTGAACTTGTCGTCCAAAAGACAAAGGCTTGAGTTTCAGCTCTTAGTTTTACGGTGACCTTGGGTAAGTTATCACCTACGGGAGTCTTGGCTTCCTTATCAGTAAATTGAGACAAATAATCCTACCTCACAGGGCTTTTCATTTTATTTATTTTATTTTTTTCAGTTCTTTACTATTTATTAGGGAAATTTCAAACAGAACCAAAATAGAGGAGTCTAGTGAACACCATGTGCCCTCGACCCGCTTCAGTGATTCCTTGCATTTTGCCAAACTTCATTCATTTTTACCCCACCCCATTTTTTCTCTCTGCTAGAGCATTCTACAGCAATTCCAAATGTAATATTTCAGTAAGTATGACTAACGGAAAAGATCTTTCTAAAGAATATCATAATTCTAGGGGTGCCTGGGTGACTCAGTCATTAAGCATCTGCCTTTGGCTCAGGTCATGATCCCAGGGTCCTGGGCTCGAGCCCCGCATCAGGCTCCCTGCTCAGCGGGAAGCCTGCTTCTCCCTCTCCCACTCCACCTGCTTGTGTTCCCTCTCTCGCTGTCTCTGTGTCAAATAAATAAATAAAATCTTTTTTAAAAAATCATAACTCTAATATCATACCTAGCGAAATTACAATGACTCTTTAACATCATTTGTTACCCAGTCGGACTTTAAGTTTCCCCAGCTGTCTCAACAATGTCTTTATGTAACTGGTTTATTTGAATCAAGAGCCAAAGAAGATTCCTATATTGCATTTGGTCATGTTTCTTAAGACTCTTCATTTGTGGCAATTTTCCTTCTTTTCTTCCCATCTTTCTTCATATAGTTTGTGGAAGGAACTAGTTATTCGTCCCATAAAATGTCACATAATTTGGGTTTGGCTGATTGCAGCCTTAACCCTTGTAGGGTCATTGAACGTTTTCCTCTTGTCCAGATACTTACTGTCCTTAGATACAGTGGCTTGATGAGATTCAAGTTCACTTTTTTTTTTTTTAAAGCATACTTTGTAGGTGATGCTTTCTACTTGTGACTGTACCATATCTAGAGGACAAAATGTCTGGGTGTCTCTTTCTACTCACGTCAAGATGGATTAGTGAGGTTCCCCAGGTTAGTACATCAGCTTCTCACCTAGTGATTTTAGCACTGGTTGATGACTGTTGTTTCAGATCCATTACTTCATAAGGGGTTACAAAATGTAGGTCTTCTATCAATCCACTTGGATTTATTAGCAGAAATTCTTTAGAAAAAAAGAATCAACTATTTGGTCACCATGAAATATAATCCATACAGGAAAGGCAAGATAAATGCTTGTTGGTGACCCCTCACTCCCTCTTTTGAACTAATGTTAGTACGATGGGGGCCTCTCCATTGAGTTGGATGATAATGGTTGCTGGTGTTGGTGGTTTTTCTCCTTCACTATGATTTCAGGAATTTCAAAATCCTTTATATTTTTCAATCCTTCACAGTCATTTTTCTATCATGCTGGCTTTTGTGTCTTATTTGAGTAGCATTTGATCACTTTTTGCCTTCTGGAAGAACAAGATATCTTGAGCTTACTTTGTACATTTCTTGTCCCAGACCTAAATCACTCAAGAAGCCATGGTTTCTTTTTAGTGGAAAGTGGTATACTGAGACCACAGTCTGGCACCAGGAGCGTTAATTGCTCATATTTCTAAATTTTTGAGGGGCTGGACCTAGAATATTCATTTTTAAGGGAAGATAAATCATTATTTCCTACTCATCATTTCAGTTTGGATTGTAAGGTTTTTACAGAACATTTTTTGTTCTAACGGTAGGAGCTTTTTCTTTTATTCTCAGAATCTTGGTTCTTAATGATGTTAAGACAATGACTTTGTGGCTTTATTCTACATCATGCATTTCTGTGGGTGAGTGCATGTGTATGCACGTACACATAACTAGTTTCAAAATAGCAACACCAACATTTCCATTAACAATATTATTAGTGAGTATGGTTTAAGATTGTTTTGCAATTCTTTTCATTCCTAGGGCATAGCACACCTGGGATAAATAGTCCCTGGCAAATGCTTTAAAAATCACTTCAAATAATTCATGTGGCTATGTCACCAACTTGATATAAAGATATAGTCATTTGTTTTATTTATTTCTTATCTTGAAGGATTTCATTTTTTCTTTTTAATTTAGTTTTATTTTAAAATGAGGTAAAATAATGTTGTTCAGTGTCAAAACTTAAATCATAGATTTTCCCCTTCTATCCACCTCTCCCTTCTTTTAGAAATCATGATGCCATAGATCCTTTATATATCCTTTTCTGCACCATGTTTTTTTTATTGAATAATGCATCGTAGAGAAGACCCCATAGCAGTAGATTACTCAACCAGTCCTCTTTTTGTGGGCATTTTAGCTTTTCCCAACATTTTTCTATTACAAATAGTTCTCCAGTAGATGACCTTTATAGGCTATTGAGAGTTAGATAAAGTGTAAAGTGATATATATATATATATGATTTTGCTATAATATATTGTTTTAGTTCCACGGTCATTTATTAAGTAGTTATAATGTGCTAGAATACAAAGATGAATAAGATATGGTCTCTGGTCTTGAGGTTTTACAGTCCAATATGATGTGGAGTAAAAAAGAAACGTTTTACATTTTTCCTTCTCAGATAATTTGATTTTTATGCTTCTAATCAGTGAATGCTTCAGCTGGTGCTGTTTTTATATTAAATTAATTCCTGGATTTCTGGATCTATACAGATATCAATAATTTATAATACTTTCTACTATATTTAATTACAGTGCTAATACAGAACTTCTTTTAGTTTATGAGCCATATTATCGTATCATCAAAGAAGTTAGTTTTGTCTAATCGATTTATGCTTCCCTAGAGCCAGAATTCACAATGACAACAGTAACAGGGACCACAAAGTTCCCCCCAATGGGTAAAAGAGAAGATAATTCTGCCTTGTATGAGTTCACACCAGCTCATGTTATTGAAGAAACCGAATATGTGAGAAAGGTATGCAGGTGCTGGGAATCATATTAGCATGACATGATTTTTTGAAATGCAATCTAATATGGTTTGGTGGGCTTTGTTTCTCCCTCCATAGAACCTGAGAGGACACATTTGGTAAAAGGACAATCCGAGCAGCTGAAATTTCAACATATGTTTAGTAACCTCTCTTGAGGACATGAACCTCTGTTCCCACATGTGGAGTAAACTTGAATAATGGGCCAGAAGGGTTCAGAACACCTATCAGCACTTAATTTGCCCCACACCATTCACCACTGTACTTCCTACCATTTTATATCATTTCTCAGTGGTTTCATGAGTGTTGCTACTGCGTTCCCAAGTAGATGTTTACGAGTCTCTCTGAGTTTCTGTCTCTCCTTACCCACTTTCTTTTTACATTCCGGGTTGCTCTCCCCAGTGACCCATGTTGGCATGTTACTTCATTAAAAATGTGAAATCTTATGAGAATCCAGGGATAGTGGCTGACAAAAGTATATATTCTTAGGAACTGTTTCTTTGAACAGATAGAGAAATTTGGACAGAGATAGTTGGTAACTTATTTAGATCGATTAATTTATCTTTGAGTGTCTTGCAGTTCCATAGGTCACTAAGACATGGGCTTATATTTCCTGCATAAATTTGTATGATCTCCTCTTAGTAATTATTCTGTAGTAATTACTAAATAGTAATTATTCTCTAGTAATTACAAGCTAGTAATTATTCTCTAGTAATTACTAGCTAGTAATTATTTTGTAGTGATTACTAAATAGTAATTGTTTTATAGTAATTACTAAATAGTAAATTAGTACTAAATTACTACATAGGAAAAATAGAATTAAATAGTATTAAATACTAATTACTAAACGGTAATTATTTTGTAGTATAATACTCATTTAGGTTATATTTTAGGTTTGACTGAGAAAGAATTATAAAGACCAAATGTTCATTTTCTGCAATCTAAACCATATTAGCCTAAATGCAAGTCAGGTTAAAGGCAGTGATTTAAATCTAAGATCAGTATTTATGTATTAACTTTCCAGTTAAATCAGGTATACTATAGCTGGTATAAAGGAAAAAAATATTTGGCATTAAATGCCTTTGAAAAAAAATAAAATCTTTTTTTCTTCTAGATCCGAACTACTCTGGAAAAGATCCGAAATCAAATTTTTAAAGATGAAGTAGGACATAACAGTACACATCACAAACTAGAAACAAAGGTAATAAATGGATCAAAATGTACCACTTTATTCCTTCAGTAAATAAACATAAAACAGTATAAACCTTATTTAAATAACTTTTTAATATAATTATTAAATTTTCCTTTGAAGCTTTGAATGATGAATGTTAAATATTTTGTCAGTATCTAAAGATGTTAATGGGCATATGTAAGAAATATTTAACCACAGATGTTATTAGTAGGCTCAGATTGGAATGACTAGACCTTACTTGAATATTTTAAACGGGGCTTACTTATCTAAAGTATATGGGAAGATGTCAGCCCAGCCAGGATATATGGCAGCAACATTTCCCAAAGACAGATGGAGGTACACCTTTTAGGCTCACAGAGTTGAAGCTGTTAGGTTTCTGGGTCAAGTGATCAGACAGTTGATAAACTGAAATTTCCCTCTCCCCTTCGACTGACCTTATATTCGTGACATCAAGCAATCTACGCTTAGCCTTGTCTGGATTCTGCAGGTTAGAGCTCATCTGAGCCAGGTGCACCTCATCAATGTCAGTGTTGTCCACTATATAGTATGGCCACAGAGCATGCAGATCACAGGGTCTGAGGTATAAACAGTGTTCCCTTTATCATCCTCAGCCTCCCAAACTAACACAACTAGCTCCAAATATTTTCTTTTTTTTTTTTTTTTAGGATTTTATTCATTTATTTGAGAGAGAGAGAGAGAGCGTGAGCACGAGGGGGGTGGGGTGAGGAGCAGAGGGAGAAGCAAACTCCCCGCTGAGCAGGGAGCCCGATGTGGGGCTCGATCCCAGAACCCTGGGATCATGACCTGAGCTGAAGGCAGACACTTAACCGACTGAGCCACCCAGGTGCCCCAGCTCCAAATATTTTCTTATAGTAAGTGCTCAGAAACTAGAAAAAAAGGTTAATATTTGTGAATGGTGAAAAAGATAAAAAAATTCCATTTTGGTTCTGTGGAGTTGTTTATTAGACCTCTAAGTGGAGGTTCCTCATGGGTGCTGCATGTCTGATTCTGGGGTTGAAGGGTCTGGGCTTGGAGGTCCAGGCTACAGGGCAGAGATTTGGGGCATAAGGATAGCATTTAAAGTTCTGAAATTGGACGAGATCACCAAATATGTGAGTGTGGATAGAAATGACAGGGGCACCTGGGTGTCTCAGTCAGTTGAGCATCTGACTCTTGGTTTTGGGTTAGGTCATGATCTTATGGGTCCTAAGATGGAGCCCTGCCTCCAGCTCTAGGCTCAGAGGGAAGTCGAGGATTCTCTCCTTCTGCCTCTCCTGCCACATGGGCAGGAGCTCTCTCTCTCAAAAATAAATACGTAAATAAATAAACAAATCTCAAAAACCAAAAGAAATGACAGAAAATTTGAGCCTTGAGTTCTGAGATATCCAACACTTAGGAAGAAGAATCACCAGAGCAGGCTGGGGAAAGAAGCTAGTGAATTAGAAGGAAAATCAGGAGAGAGGGGAGTCACTGAAGACAAGTGAGAAAGGGTTTCAGAAAGTGGGGAGAGGCCACTGTGTCAAATGGTGCCTCTGGGCCAAGTAAATGGAGGGCTGAACATTGACCACTGGATCTAACAATGGGGAGGTTGTTGGTGACCTTGATAGGAGTAGCTTCTTAGGAATGGAGAGGAATTGTGTTGCTGGTGTCTGCCTTGGTCATCTCAAACCTCAGATGGTTAGCAGACATATAACAGCCTCAAAGTACCTGCCCCTTCCCCTGCAATATCTGAACAATGTCCATGTAGGAATTTAGCCGTCGTGATCTCGGGCTTTGCTGCTCACCAAGTGTGGGCTGCCGTCCTGGAAGTAACAGCAATATCAGGGAGGTCTTTAGAAATGCAGCATCCAGCGAAGAATAGCATGGAGCAGATACCATTTGGAGGGCAGTGAAATTTACTGGAAAAAAAAATTGTATAATCACTTCTAATTCTACTCTCTAGAGATAACCGTTACTAACATTTGCTATGTACATCCTTCAGTTTTTTTCCTATGCATGTTTTTGTATATATGGCTATGTTTCTTTCCATAAAATGGTATTACTGTATATATTGTTTTATGTCCTGTGTATTTCATGTAGAAGTATATTGCTCACATTTTCCCATGTCAATATATATTCTTCTATGGCTTAAAAAAAAAAGGAAGAAATGCGGCATCTAGAGCCCCACCCCAGACCTCTTGAATCAGAATCTGCATTTAACCAGATCTGTCACCAAATGACTCATATGCACATTAAAGTTCAAGACGCACAAATCCATGACCTTTGTAGCTATCTATTGCTGCCAGCAATCTGCCTTCTATAAGAATCTTTCTATCAAGTATCCTTTAACAAATTAAAAAACAAAATAACTTCTATATACAGAGAGTGAGAGTATATAGTAGGGTCTGGAGTACAGTAAATAAAACCCTGACCAAGGGCGCCTGGGTGGCTCAGTTGGTTAAGCGACTGCCTTCGGCTCAGGTCATGATCCTGGAGTCCCAGGATCGAGTCCCGCATCGGGCTCCCTGCTCGGCGGGGAGCCTGCTTCTGCCTCTGACCCTCCCCCCTCTCATGTGCTCGCTCTCTCTCATTCTCTCTGTCTCAAATAAATAAATAAAATCTTTAAAAAAAATAAATAAATAAAACCCTGACCAAATTATAGTAACTATATTATTTATATGCACTATATTCTTTTTTGCTTTTTTGTTTTTATTTCTGTAAATGTAGCCCATCTTTTGTACTGAAAAGAATATTGGCTTTGTTAAACAGACTTGGATTCTAATTCTGGTTCTGGTAGTTATTTTAGGTATAACCTCGGCTTATTAGTGAAACACTCTCATCGTCAGTTTTCTTCTCTGTATAATGGTCACAGTGCCTTCTAGTGTTTTAAGTAATCAGACAAAGGGGTGTTGATAAAACATCTAAAAGATTACAGGGCACATAGGTAGGTAGATGCTTATTAAATAGAAGCTATTATTTTATAATTGTTTCATGTAGGGTATGTAGAATCGTGTAATTCCTTCGTCTGTCTTGAAATAATTTGGAAGAGCAGAAAGCATAGGATGGATACTCAAGCGGCTGTGTAAAGAGCTCTCCCACTTATTGCATAAACCCAGGCTCAGTACCTCACTTTTCATATCGTAAAATTGATGTAGTTGGGTTAGATCATTTCAAATTTCCTTTCCACTTCTGCGTGTCCTTGATTCCAGATGAGATTTATCTTATGCTCCAAGTGTATTTTCAGTGGGCTAGAGTTTACATTGAGTCACACTGGCAGTAATATTCAGTTCTGACATCTCTGGAAATTTAATATGGGGTGATTACAGTGAAACATCACTGAACATTGAATATTATGTCTTGTAACTATTATGTCTGATTATATTAGTTTATAATACAATGTAACCAAAATGCACTTATGTCTGCAACTTAGGTAAAAAAGGAAAAAAAGTTGGCCTTGTGGATATTATTTATCTCCTAAAAAGGACTTCATGGTAAATTTAAAACTATAGGAAATATAAAAAGTATAAAAGATGTACCTCTACCTTTTTTTGATATAAGAATCTAATCAAATTTGAGCAAATATAGAGGTCAGCTGCTTCATCTAGAATTCCCTATTAATACTTGAAATTCAAAAGATGTATTTTATTTGTGCTGACCTGAATCTTTTTTGGTATATGTAATAGTGAGTGGTAATTACTGTTGTCAAAGTTTGTAGAGGAAGGGAATAGTCAGGTTGCTGAGTTTTGTGTTTTTTCATTTCAGCACTGTCGAAACATTCAAAATGGCTCTGATTCTGAAATGGACCCCTCTTGTTGCAGTTTGGATCTGCTCATGGAAAGGATGAAAGGAAAAGAACAGCAGATCTTAGAAATGAACAAAGAAAATGAAGTATTGAAAATCAAGGTATGACTATCAGGAGAAATTTCTTTTTTTTTTTTTAGATTTTATTTATATATTTTAGGGAGAGAGTGGGAAGGGGCAGAAGGAAAGGGAGAGACAGAATCTCAAGCAGACTCCCTGCTGAGTGCAGAGCCTGACATGGGGCTCAGTCTCCCAACCCTGAGATCATAACCTGAGCCAAAACCAAGAGTTGGACGCTTAACTGACTGAGCCACCCAGGTGCCCCTATTAAGAGAAATCTAATTTTGTATTTTTGAGCCAATAAGATAGCTTCATGGATGTGTAAAAACAGACAGACATCATTATACATCCACAGATCCATACGTATGTTCACCTATGTAGAGAAATGCTTTTCCATTTCATAAATTAATTCTGTTTTATTTTGAAGACTACTTTACTATTGAAAAGATTTTACACAAGTTCAATGGGTATAAAGTTTCAGTTGTGCAAGATGAATCAGTTCTAGAGATCTGCTGTGTTGTGCCGGTAGTTAATACGGTGTCTTACACTTAAAAATGTGTTAAGAGGGTCGTCTCATGTTAAGTGTTCTTACTAAATAATTTTTTAAAGTCTTTCATGTTTAATAAATATTAATTAGAGCACTCAAAGTCAAATGTCTCATTATTTTGTTTAATTAATCTATTGTTGGATGCTTTAGATTTTCTTCTTTTTCTTTTTCTTTTTTTGGTTTGTTATGTATGCAGTCCTGCAATGAATATCTCTGTAGGTAAATCCTTGTGGCCATTCCTGATTATTTCTTTAGGTTAAGTCCCTTGAGAGATTCATGACACTCACCCTTAATCCTCACCTCTTGTCCCACTGCTATTTTAGGAAAATACATCTTTTAGGACTGTTGTGGACATCAATGATAAAACACAAATAAGTGTATAAGCCGATAAAGCACTGGGAGCTCTTTGAAGGGTGCAGTTTATAAATGTAGCCCATTGATTTTGGAGCTTTATTTTTTTTTTATTTTTTTTTTAAAGATTTTATTTATTTATTTGAGAGAGAGAATGAGATAGAGAGAGCACATGAGAGGGGGGAGGGTCAGAAGGAGAAGCAGACTTCCCGCCGAGCAGGGAGCCCGATGTGGGACTCGATCCCGGGACTCCAGGATCATGACCTGAGCCGAAGGCAGTCGCCTAACCAACTGAGCCACCCAGGCGCCCGATTTTGGAGCTTTAGATTGGCCTGGTCAGTGCAAATCCTTCTGCATGACAGTTTCCCTAAATAGGGCATTTCTCATTTTACATTTTCCTCTTAACCAGATCGTAGTGTCTTTTCTCCTATCTGTTGTCTAGGAGGATGCAATGGTACAGTTACAGCCTGTTTTCAACCGCCTGTCAAGCTGTTCTGCCTTTAACCCTTTTTGCTGTAAACGTCGAAACATTCATGACCTCTTTTCCCAGCTGGAAGCCTGCAGACAAGCAGGAGCAGGGGCTCTGAGAAACGTGGCCCAGAGATTATCTGAAAGCTACCAAACACAGTCTGAAGAAGTTAGAAAGAAGCATGAGGATGGTAAACACTTACTCGAGGTACTAAGCTAGCAGCTTGTCTATTGGAGAACTAGCACCCCGGTGCGTGTGTCTGTGTGTTGGTTCACGAATCTCTTTTTGAGGTTAGGTGTAAAATAAGCAACGTCCCGGGACTCTGGCAAGCCTTGGACAGGGCAGGGTGCCCATCTTCGGCGCTGGTCTCTCCCCACCCCTGCTTGGCCTGGCGCCCAGACGTTGCCCGGATCCTGTGTTGCTGCAGTTGTCCAGAGCCCTGTGGAACACCGGTGGAAGGAGGCGGTACCCCCTGCCTGGAAATCGGGGCTGTCCCGGTGACACTGGCCAGTGACTCCTCCCCTGGTTCTGCTTTGGACTAACTAGATGACCTAGGTAGAGGCGTTCTCCCTCTTTGGGGTTGGCTTTCCGTGTCTCTACAATGAAAGAATTGGCCTAGATCAATGGTTTCAAAACGGTTTTGACCCTAGAATATATTCTTCAAATTAAAAAAAAGAAAACGTATGTGTACCTTTATATTTTAAAATGCATATTTCATATTTTAATATATAAATTAAAATATTTTAAACACATAAATATGTACACATGTGTATGTATGTGTGTGTGTATATCATAGACATACACACGTGCAGACACACCCATCCTTTTTTTGCTTTGTTTTTAAATCTGAAGGGTACATTCTAGGACCAGTTATACACCAAGCGTATTCTAGGACTGGAAAAGGAAAAAAAAATGTGTGTGTGTGTATGTTCATCAAAACTCAAAATAGGGAAGCTCACTGATGCTGGGGTGGGGTGCCTAGGCCTCTGCGAGGTCCCCAGGGGAGCACAGTAGGAAATCCACTGGGCAGGTGATACACCTTCATGCTGCTGGATGTGGTGGTGATGGTCAGAAACTCACACGCATGTGACGGTGCAGATTAAGAAGCTCAGTGAATGAAGCGAGCCCGCTTATGTGGACCCGAGTGCTCTGTGTGAGTGAATGGTTGGCCTGTAGGGAAGGGAATGCACGCACGTTCTGCAAAGGGGCCTCAGCGCCGGCCTGAAGTTGCCTGGCAGGAATGCCCAGCTGGGGTTTCCAAGGGAAGGGAGCTAGACACTTTTTTCTACTGTAAATCTCAAGTTTTATGAAATGTAAATGCTGATGTGTGTGTGCATGTCGAAGTCAGTTGAGACACTCCCAAGTGTGGCCTATGGGCTGCCAGATGTAGACTTCACTTCTATGGTCTTTAGTACAACTCAGGCTATAGGCCTGAGAAATAGCCCCCAACACAGTGGGGATCATTATTCTGCTTTTATGAAACTTTCTGATTAAAAATAAAACACTAAAAAAAAAACTGAAACGTTTTTTACTGGAACAGTAAAAGATTTCATTTTTGTTCTAATTCAGTTTCATTGAGAAAAAGTCAAAAATTTCACTTTTCTTAAATTAGCATCTCTCTTATACCAGTTGGGATAGCATGATTTATGGTAACACGTGTAAACATTCTAGGAATAATACTAATATATTATTAATTCTACATTGCTTTAGTTTGTTGCAGCCCATTAATTCAAAAGAGTAATTTGAATCAAGTGTGAATTATTAACTTTTTTTGGCTACTCAACATTATAGAGGGAGAGAATAGCTGTATAAATTTAATAAAAGCAAGAGTTTGATAATCATTTTTCTGACCTAAGGTTAACAGACTCGAAAAGGAACAGCAACTGAAGCAACATGTTGAAAATCTGAATCAGGTTGCTGAAAAGCTTGAAGAAAAACATAATCAAATCACAGAGCTGGAGAACCTTGTACAGAGGATGGAAAGGGTGAGCCCCTGGGGATTTAAAGGGATTTCTTCCAGACAGGGTTAGGGAGAGGATGAAAGAAAATAGCACTAAAATAAATATATAAATATTACATATGTATAAATATAACTTATAAGTTTATATAATTAAATATATTTATATAATAACATGTATATTTTATTTTATTAGGTTTTTTTTATTATGTTCAATTAGCCAACAATAATATATATATTTTAGAAAGAGAGCATGCATGCTAGAGCGAGCAGGGGGAGGGGAGGAGCAGAGGGAAAGGGAGAGAAACAATCTCAAGCAGACTCCCTGCTAAGCACGGAGCCCAACGTGGGGCTTGATTTCATGACCCTGAGATCATGACCTGAGCCAAAATCAAGAGCAGGATGCCCAACCGACTGAGCCACCCAGGCACCCCTAAAATAAATAAGATATTAATTGAAAGTAAGTACCCTTTGCAACAACTAAGACTTTAGAAAGTACTCAATAATATTAGTTCCTTCCCTTATACATTTAACACGATCTGTACGGTCGCTGATTGACCTCTCTACAAATACTGTAGTCATATCATCCTCTGTCCCTTTCTCTCTCTGGTGTATGTATGGCTTAGAGAGGCGAAGCAGATGAGGCTGTGAGTAGAAACAATGGGAATGATCACAAAGTCCACCTATTACTAGGAATCATACAGTGGATCCCTGTAATCATAGCATTTCTACGTTAGAGTCAGTGAAGTATCCATTCTTTGGCCACCCGAGTTCACTTTGGGATTGTGAATACCTATGGCTGCATTAGGACCGATATAATTCACATTAAGAAAAGACATCCTCTAGGAATTGGAACTTCCATAAGAGACAATTTAGAAAAGAGTTGTGACAGAGCAAAAATTCTTAAAAATTTTATGCCGTGTGCCTTTGAAAGACACTCCAAAAATATGCACAAGGTGAGCCCATAAATTTAATAATGCATCCCTTAGAATTTAGAATACAGGCAAACCAAGGAATACTGGGTTTTTAGTGGCAAAACAAACTAATAGAAAATTGGGCTCTCTGAAACTGAATTTGGCCTAGATAAGAATATAGGCTTTGGAGGTGCCTAGATGCCTGGCTCATTCAGTAGAGCGTGCCACTCTTGATTACAGGGTTGTGAGTTCGAGCCTCACATTGGGTGTAGAGATTACTTAAAAATAAAATCTTAAAAAAAAAAAAAAAGAATATAGGTTTTGACTGCTGGTAAATATTGCCCAATAAATTTTTATATTTACTGTAATAATTCCCTGATTTGCCTTTTCCCTCCTCAGCCTTACTCCGTTTTATGTCTGCTTGAGTTGATGCCATCTGAGAAATGTCACTTCAGAAGCATCACATTTCCATATTCAGGTTTCTTGCCAAAGGAAATTTGATTAATTTTTTACATATTTCCCAATAATTTATAACACTGAGTTTGGTTGAATTTGTAGTGTCAGTGAAGGTCCTATGAGGAAATCACAAAAATTAAATAAGCCCAAATTTAACTGAATCTAGTAATAATAATATATAGCTACATATATAGTATTGTGCAGTGGGTCACTGAATGGTTTACTGGAGCCAGAATCGCTGGGCTAGAATGTCCTCAAGCAGCTGGTTTGCTGAAGTGGGACAGTGTATGGTTAGGATATTTTGAACAAACTGTAACATTTGGATGACTACTTTTTAACATTAGAATATTTATCCTGTAATAAATAGTTTCTCAAACTCAGCACAAAGAATGTTTGCATTTAGAAAAGGAAGACAGTTCTGGAATGCAAATAGGGCTGATTAACCAGCTTTCATTTAAATTTAGATTTGTGATCACCTCAAACCCAAACCCAGTCACACTGGGCCAGGTTTAATAGCCAGCTGTGGAATATCATTTCTATTTCCTAGAAATCCTGTGAAATGGATGTGAGTTCGTCTCAGAATTCTGGGTTACCTTCATTTGACTGTTTACTCAACAAATACTTGAGCACTTACCGTGTACCAGTCAGAGCTAGAGGCTAGATATCTGTTTGTAAATGAACCGGGTATAGTCTCTTTGTGGAGATTGCAATGTAGGATATCTGGGTTCTGTGGGACTCGAGGAACTTCCCATACCTCTCTTCATTCATTCTCCTAGGGAGGCAAACACCCATATTGAAGGTAGGGGAATGTACCCCCGAATAAAGTTGGCTGGCTTAGATATTGGCAGACATTTTTGAGAAGTGATAGCCTAGCATTTATCTTTTTTGTTTTATTGCTTTTGGTTTTTTTGCATTTATTTTGATATTGACCCGTAATGGTGGACTGTCTTTAGGTGCTCTGTGACCAAGTAAGTGGACAGGATGCCCATGGTTCATGGCCTTGCAGGAACTTTCCTGAATATTCTAGTTCAGTAATTTCCTAGAGTAGAGCCTACTGAAATCTCAGGAAGGTGGAAGTAGGTGGGGATGGATGGAAGGGCACTGTGCAGGAGTTTTTTTAAAAACATATTTAGGTTAAAGGGATGTTATATCTGTAAAACAAACAAGCAAATAAATTAAACTATAAGAAACAAAGCTTGGCAACATCTTCTTGTTTTAAGGTAATACTGAGAATACTTTTAAGGCTGTGATGAAGGGTTCCTTAGGTGGGGGGTGTGTATCAGAAGGAGAGGAGGGCGCACTCTAGATTTTTGTGTTAGTAGGAGAAAGACATGCGTTGAGAAAGGAAATGAAAATTAAAAATGAACGCCCACGCAGAGATTGATAAATATTGTCCTGGTAGTCGGTGGCCCCTAGAGAAGGATTCATTTTCTACTCACTTGAACAAGCCACTACTCCAGTAAATAGCCATTAGTGGTATGAGGTCTGGTAATGAACACATTACTTAAAACCTTCACCATCTGTCCCACTTTAATCAGGAATGCAGTGAGAATGAATTCCATAAACACAGTGATAAGCCAGCAAAAACGCCCAATAAGTGCATTTTAATACAGCGTATGTTCCTTTTGCTAGCAGTGCAGTTCTGTTGCATCATATTTGTTTTCCGGTCTCATTGATTTAGCTCTATTAGAATTTTAGAGCTCAGAGGTGCTTTTGAGACCACCTAGTTCCTCGTTCACCATTTTATAAATAAGGGCAGTGGGAACAAGGAACGATTCCACTGTCCTCCAGTTACCAGTTCAAAATGCTTTCCATTATGCCCTGATCTTCTCTGGTGTCAGATAAAAATGATATACTTGGTTCCTAAATCATTTAGATGTTAACATATGGCAATTATTTAAATTGGTGTCTTCTCCACTTTGATCAGTAGGGCGAGGGAGCTCTTGAGCTCCCCAGTGCAGCAGTTTTGGGAAGAGTGCATTGCCCACTGGGTGGTGCTGTGAACTCCTTTCCTATTCCACAAGACACTGTCCCTGAGAAAAAGGGCTGGCCAGTATGGTGTGATTTTCCATGTTGTCAGAGAGGAAGCATTGAGAGCCCAGGCTCCATGCTGGAACCTTGGCCAGGGCAGAATGTTTACTTGTCCAGTTGTCCAGTCTGCTTGAACCCTGGTTATGAAGATCCATTAATGGAGAGTAAGCCCATTAAGAAGAATGTTAAACACCATTTTCCTCCCTACAAAGTCAAAATATATTATCAGTGTTGTGTTTCTTTGATGATCCAAGTATCAGAATAAGCTTACAAGGCATACCTGTGATCCCTCAAAAATAAGTTGAACACAGCTAGGGAACACAAGGGAAATTCCTATACGTGACAAGAATGCTACAGGAAAAAAATTGAAAAAATTAATATAAACTTAAAAAATAATAGCGCCTAAGATAGGGAGTGTTTGACGCCTTCAAATTATTATAAATCAAGGTCCTAATATGTACGAGAGAAGCATGTGGGCCTTTCACATATAATATCTCCAACCATCCCAACGTTTCAATATAGGTAGTATTATCCCCATTTTAGGGATGTTCGGAAAGTCATGACTTAAAAAACCACGACTTAAACAAATATAGAATGAATACATGTCTGATATTTTACTCAGCTCATTCATTAATAAGGGAAGCAGTAAGATGGTAAAGCTGGTTTAAATAGATTTTGAGAAACTGGGTATTTATAGGCATTTTGAAAAAAGGAATATAGGATCGGATTACTAGATTAGATACAAAGCTGGTTAATATTTTTGAAGACCATCAAACCATAACCTGAGGGATTATCTTTTCTACCAGGCAGAAATCTGCACATGAACATGCAACTTCACAGAGTCAGGGCTCTAATCAAATCATAAACAATAGAGTCAAACACAGAAATTCTCCATGAGAATTGCTTATTCAACAATGACCCAATATGACATTAAAATCATATATGGTTTTGTTTTCCAAGTTTTGGCTAATTTTTCTTAAAAAACATGTTACAGTCACAGTTTCAAAACTAGGTCAGTCCATGTCCAAAGAGATTCCCACTGCATTTTGTATTTTACCCATATGAGTACTGCAGCAGGAGTAGTTTATTTTTTTTTTTTAAGATTTATTTATTTCTTTGAGAGCGAGCGAGCATGAGTGTGTGTGGGGGGGGAGGGTCAGAGCGAGAAGCAGACTCCCTGCTGAGCAGGGAGCCCAATTCGGGACTTGATCCTGGGACTCCAGGATCATGACCTGAGCCGAAGGCAGTTGCTTAACCAACTGAGCCACCCAGGCGCCCTGGAATGGTTTTAAACAGCCCTGTAAACAGTGTCAAAACATCAAATATTCTTACCATCGAATATTAAAAAACAAAACAAAACAAACAAAAAAAAAACAACCCACAATCATCCCAACTTGGTTTTCGTGGACTTGTTATTTATTTATTTATTTATTTATTTTTGAATGGAAAGAATTTAATAATGACATTCAGGTATTTCTTTATATTTTCTTTCTCCATATCAAAATTTCTCTTGTATTCTAACTAGGAAGTGATTTTATTGCCTGTGGCCTTGATCCTTCACTAAAAAGGCATTTACTACTTTGCTACTTTCTGACAGATGCCATGTGAGCAGGTAGGGGTATAAGGTCAATAGCGTCTTTGGATACCAGCGACTCGGTCTAATGTAGGAGAAGCAGGTGGGATGGAGGAGAGCCAATGCCTAGAGAGATGAGCTGCCAGTTTGTATTCGGGGTGGGATGGAGAGAGGCAGGAGTTAGACTGAGCACGGTATACTTCAGTAGGTGGCTGGAGGAGGAGCAAAACCTCTCCAGGCAAGTGAGGGGAGTGAAGACAACTAGTCTGGACCTGTGCCTGAGCTACTTGGAAACCACACAGGAGAATGCCTGGCCAGGCCTCATTGGGGTGGGTTGTAACAGCGCCATCTGAAATGAGCTCTTTAGCTTAAAAGGTATTTTCTAATATTATAAGAAGTGTCTTTTGCAAACAGTTTGCAAGAGTGACTTAGCAAACACATGCACACATGCACAGAAATAAATAGAATTGTATTTTATTTTCTTCTAGGAAAAGAAAACACTGCTAGAAAAAAAACTGTCTTTGGAAAACAAGCTGCTGCAACTCAAATCCAATGCTACATATGCTAAAAGGTTTGCAAATCTCCCTCCTTACTAAAGCAGTTCCTGATACCTTTCCTCTCCGATGGTCCACTGGCCAACGGACAGAAGGCTAGCACCCTCCAAGGAGACAGGAAGGCTGAAAGGGCAGGACAAAGGGAGATTACTTAATATTAACAGTCACATACCTCCCCTCCCTCCCACTGGGGAGGGTTCCCTGGTGGTACTGGGAAACTGGGGCAGGGTTAATCCTCCTGAAGAATGAATGAGCCTGTCCGTTCCCTGTTGACCCTGGGTGCTAAAGAGGATGCTTCATTCCCCCTGATGCTTCTGATTTTGTTAAAGGGTCTCTGCGATAACATGTATCAAATTGGCTAGCCCACAAGTGGAACTGTAAGATCCTTTTATGGTGCTCCCCAACTTTGTAGAGAATGAAGGAACTACTCTGAATGCATTCTTAGTTCTTTGGACTTACTTACGAATACTCACAATTCACAAGCTGTTAACAGCCCTGAGTACAGGGGTGGCGTGGATCATGGTTATCACCCAACTGCTGCATTACTTCGCTGGTTTCAGAAAAATTCTCTCAACATCATGTAATAACTTATAACGTATAAAGTTTCCTCACTTTTGTCCCCCTTCCCTTCTCTTCTCTTTTAATTCTAAACCTGCCACTGTCATTATAGGTTCTGATATAATGTTCCAAGTCAAGCCTATTTTGAGGTCTTCTTTTATCCATCTGCAACTATTGCTTCTTAGGATATCAAGCACTATGATGAGCCTCAGAATGTACAAATTCTTATTCTCATTTATCCAGTAATATATACTCAAACATCCCTCTCTCTTGGTCTTTGATTTTTTTTTCTGTTTCTCTTTCCTTTCCAATTATCTTTCTTTCTCTTCTCATCTCTCACAAGCTTCTGCCTTCCGTCTGGCTCATAGTCATGTATTGAACCACATACGCCAAAGTCCAGACCTGGTCTGACCCTAGCAATTGCACTTACATATTCAGAACACACTGCAACACCACTGATATTAATTTACCCATATTCTTCTTTGTGAACAAGCACGTAGCCCCAGTAGGGAGCTTTCTAAGAGAGTGCAGGATAGCACTGCTCATCTCTGTCGGAAATGAAGAAGTACCGTGGAGGACATTCCTAGGTCTTCAGAATTACTTGCATATACTCATAACTCTTAAGTAAATCTGTGGGTTATGTTGGGTTTTTTTCCTTTTTAAAGAGAGTCTGTGCATACAGCAGAACTACTGGCTGGCACACTATGCTTTCCATCAAGAGTCCAGACAACCTGAGTCTGATTTTTTTTTCCTTTAGAAATGATTTTTATTGATAATAGGGTTTTTGTCAGTCTTTGAGCCAAAAATGTAACCATTTTAGAAACCAAACTGAACTGTTCTTTCTGTTCTATTATATATGAGCAGTTGTTATAGGGAATTCTCAGACAGCTCTTAGGGAGGATTTAGAAATGTCTTGAGGGAAATGGATGTTTTGTGTTTCTAGAAAGGTGTTTGAACATCCAGGCTTATGTAATTTTTATAGACTGTAGGCATCACAAATATTTATCTTACTTATTATTTGTCTGTGTGTAGACAAGAAAATGAAATCAGTAGGAGTCAGACTCTTTTGGTTAAGGCAATAGAGACTTGGTAAAGCTACCACAAATAAGAGGATTTCTGGTAGGTGAAGACTGATTAGATATGGCCACAAAGAAGATGGATCTCGTGGGAAGACGGGAAGACCACCCTTTAGCATCTAATGTGTTTTCAAAAACCAGATTATTTTGTTGCTCCTGTTCAGTTATGTGTATTCATACAGTTTCACTCTTTCTTGTTCTTTGTTTTTCCTGTGTGATTTATTAGCTTTTTTCAGTGGTTTTCTCCAGCTGGCTTATATTCTTCATTTTCCTTTCAAATTGCAGAGGAAAGAGTCTATGGGCCTAATACTACTTCCTGTATTGGGCAGATTGTTCATGGTCACCAAACTCCTACATTGTCATCTAACCAATGGCCTTTTGGCAGGCACCAACTCCCAGTCCTACAGGTGGCCTTCCCTTACCCCCAAAAGAGCTCCCTGATCAGGGGGCTCTGGGTGATTACATTTCCCTTGGGCAGGATAGTGGGTTTGACAGGTGCCATGGCTCTCTGCCATTTTTTTTATATCTGTATGACATTTATTTATAGATTTTTCTCTATATAAGCCTAAGTTAATTATTTAGTTCAGTTTAAACAATCTGTTTTTTAATTTATTTTATTTATTTTTTAAAATTTTATTATGTTATGTTAATCACCATACATTACATCATTAGTTTTTTTCCTCCTTTTTATTATTATGTTAATCACCATACATTACATCATTAGTTTTTGATGTAGTGTTCCATGATTCATTGTTTGCATAAAACACCCAGGCTCCATGCAGAACGTGCCCTCTTTAATACCCACCACCAGGCTAACCCATCCCCCCACTCCCTCCCCTCTAGAACCCTCAGTTTGTTTCTCAGAGTCCATAGTCTCTCATGGTTCGTCTCCCTCTCCGATTTCCTCACTTTCATTTTTCCCTTCCTACTATCTTCTTCTTTTTTTTTTTTTTTAACATATAAATGTATTATTTGTTTCAGGACTCTGCCATTTTGATGAAAAGATTCAATATGTTCTAACCTGGCATTTCTAATATTAAAAAGCATCTCTAAAAATGATGACTTTTAAGTATTCTATAATTCAGGAGAAAATGACAGGTTTTTTGCATATGGGTATGAATATATAATATGCTAATCCCCACAATTACTTTTAATGAGAGTTAAGAGATTTGGCAGAAGCATCTCGTGGAAAACAAGGTTGACTCCATGTTTCTAATTCCATCACTACTAGCCAACACATGTATTGTGCTTTGCTGTTTATAGAGTAACTCCAGGTACCTTATTTAATTTAATCCTTTCATTGACTTTTCAGGGAGGAAACTGAGCTTCTAATTTGTGAAGCGATATATACAGCCTCTCAGAAGCTGTAAGAGCTGGGAGTTTGGGCTCTAGAATTCTCAGAGCAGTCGGTGCTCATTCTGCTATAGAGGAGATTTGACCTTCTTTCATTTCTGGAGACCTCTGGAGGCTTTCCCTTGGCCTGGTTTCCTAATTCCCCTGGGTGTGTATGAGCAGATCGCAGTTTCCCAACTTGTCCCTCTGCCCTGTGACATCACAAACACAAAGGTCCATTTTAGAGTTATCCTTTGGAGAAATACAGGAGCTCTACCTCAGAAAAATCCTTTAAAAAAGGATAGAATGATGCCAGAAAACTATGAAAATAAAGCCATTATAACAGTGAGGAGCAGAGGGCAAGGTATGGCATGGTTGAATAATGCTGCCCTCTGATGGTGTAAGTTAACCCAAAGATAGTTAAAATCTAAGTATCCTGATGAATGGATAGAGAGACAATCCTCCCTTAATTCAATTTCCTTTGACTAAGTGTTTGGCAGACATTGGTCATCGGAGTGATTGAGGGTATGCTTCTTGCCAAGTACTTATGCTACAATCATCCCGTATTACTAAAGGCTAAGCCATTTGTTTTCACATGTCTGCAAGTTAAAGATAAGATAGACTTTCTCTCTTGAACGTTAAGGAATCTAAGAGGAAGAATATCAGAAATGGTGCTCTGTTGACTCTCCCTCAGTGCCAAATGGAGAGAGGATCCTCAATTCCCTTCCTCAAAAGAATAGGGCCAAGATTTTCCTCTCCCGTTGATGGGGCTTTTCTTGTTTGCTCTCTTTGGCATTTCCAGACTACAGACTTTTTCAGCTCCAAGTCTGGGATATATGAGGCAAAAAGAAAGCCCAGGGAACTCACCATTGTGTTATGCCTTGGATTCCAAGGTCCTGAACTGGTCTGCCTTCTCTCCACCTTTCAGAGCCTTCTTGTGTTTGTCTACATATAATCTCTAGGTTTTTGGTTGTACTCAGTGGGAAGGATAGGAAAAACACATCTACATCTTCCCAAAGTATAAGATTTTCAATTCTATTTTAATTTCAGCATTTACTTTATATTGAGGCTTTGGGAGGCAGAGCATGAATCAGACATCTATTAGAAGGGCTCAGTGTCCTTTTCTAGGCCTGGCCTTTGTAATGTTTTCTTCCTGCTGGTTTTGCTTTAGTACCTCTTTATTAAGACTGAGTTGCTTTAACAGAAAGATAAAGAGCAGAGATTAAAGGGAGCTCAGGTGGCAGTTTATTTCAGTGTAGTCTCACATTTAAAGACCTTTAATGGGTGATTAGTTTCATATTTATCGAACAATCCTAAGAGAGAATTTCTGCAACTTCTGTTAGTCCCCATTCTAGTGTACTAATGCAGATAAGTCTGAAAGCCCTGTGTTTTCAAGAGTGCTTCTAGAAATTATTTTCTTCCATCTTGAGACCTATTTCAGATTTCTGTTCATCTACGGTGACTTCTATGGTAATACCATCACAGAATACGTGGGGAAGTTCCCTGAGCTTTGTATTTTGAGGAGCGTAACATCTACCCCACCCCATCTTCCTAAAGCCACCCTTTTTTCCCTCTAGTTTTCCCTCTGAGTTCTGGGTCATCATAGTACACAACAAGACATTATGAATACTCATCTTTAATATTTTTATAAATTTTTTTAAATGTTTAATTTTCTTATGGGCTTATGAACAGTTTATGAATATTCAAAGCCAGCCTGCCTCTGTAAGGCATCCCGAGTTATTTCTCCTTATTTCCCAGGGAAATCCTGAGTCTGACAGCTCCCTCCCTACTTCTCTCCTTTTTCCCTCCTCACTGGAGCAGTCTTGAATCTTAGCCCCACCCCCTGTGGGGCAGACTTCTGTTTGCCTTCTCTGCTATTTTGATCCATATGTCCTCAACTCATTTTGTGTGTGTTCAGTATCTCTAGTCCCTTTCTAATTTTTCTACTGGGGTATCTGTCATACTGATTGGTAGATGTATCCTTATATATTCTGGGTACAATGCCTTTATTAATCATTTGAGTTTCTGAGGTTCTGAGGCTATCCTGTTCCCTCTTATTTGATGACTCCCAAGTTTTTTATTTTAGTCTAGTCAAAATTCTCAGTCTTTCCCTTTGTGGTTAATACTGTTTTGAGTTCTGTTTTAAAAAATCTTCGTCTATTGCACATTCACGAAGATGTTCTTCTATATTATCTTCTGAAAGTCTTTTGGGTCCCCAGCTTTATTTACAGTCTACATGGAATTTATTTTTCTTATGAGATGAGTTTAGGATTTTCATTTTATTTTTTTTAATATGGATATAGAGTTGTCTCAGTACCATTTGTTGAAAGGATCATCCTTTTTATAATATTCTGCCGATCATCTTTGATACACATCAAGTCTGTTGGTCTATCCCTGTGATATATGTATATGTACAATAAAAGTGGCACAGATATAGTGTAGTTAGTTTCATTAGTCTTCTATTAATGAACATTTAGAGTGTTCTAATTTTTATGCTATGAACTACATTTTATATAATATTTTGTGTAATTGTGCAGTATTTTTATAGTATGAATTATTTAATTCCATAGGATAAATAAATAGTAATGACTGTCATTATGCAATATTTGTACTTGTGCAAGAATTTCTATGATTTCATAGAAATTAATTTTTTTCTACAGTAAAACAAACTTTTTAAAGCTCTCTCATGCAAAACCAAGAGAGAGAAAAATTAAAAGACTGTCTTAAATATTGCAAGTTGCCTGCAAATTACTTGACCTTGAGAGAGAATATTACTTATGTTATTGAGCCAACCTCAGTGGGCTATTCAAAGCATGGGTAAGCATACTCACTGGTAACAACCTGGAGCCTACTGGAAATGCAGAATCTCAAGCCCTGTCCCAGCCTCCTGGATCCAGATGTGCATTTTAACAGGATCCCTCATGATTTCATAAGATCCTCCAATGCATATTAAGTTTGAGAAGCAATGTTTCAGTACATGATGTGAAACAAAATGAGACTCTCTTTTTTTTTTTTTTCAAATGAGAACGTGGTCTGTAATGTCACATGAGTGTCCACGACCTTTGTAATATTTGTAGAGGCTATAAAATCACAATTGCAATTGCATTGGATGTTGGCTACTAATTATAAAACCTTAATAGCTAAAGAAATATTAATACATTGCTGTGCAAAAGCTTACTTTCCGAAAGCATATTCATTTACCTCCTTTAGTCCACAGTATGTTCTTGTAAAGTAATACAGATGGGAGTTATTCTATCTGTTACACCGAAGCTGAGAAGCTCCCAAGTTTGGTGAGCTTGCCACAATGCATGGTACTTCAAAACTCCAGTAATATTGGCAAGAAGAAAATCTTGGCGGGGCGCCTGGGGGGCTCAGTTGGTTGGGCGACTGCCTTCGGCTCAGGTCATTGATCCCAGGGTCCCGGGATCGAGCCCCGCATCGGGCTCCCTGCTCGGCGGGGAGTCTGCTTCTCCCTCTGACCCTCCTCCCTCTCATGCTCTCTGTCTCTCATTCTCTCTGTCTCAAATAAATAAATAAAATCTTTAAAAAAAAAAAAAAAAAGAATAGCTTTGGGCGCCTGGGTGGCTCAGTCGTTAAGCGTCTGCCTTCGGCTCAGGTCATGATCCCAGGGTCCTGGGATTGAGCCCCGCATCGGGCTCCCTGCTTGGTGGGAAGCCTGCTTCTCCCTCTCCCACTCCCCCTGCTGTGTTCCCTCTCTCTCTGTCTCTCTCTCTGTCAAATAAATAAATAAAATCTTAAAAAAAAAAAGAAAGAAAATCTTGGCAAGTCAAAAGCTGTATAATCAATTCCAGTTACCTAAATGGAGTTTCGGGAAAGTATGAATAATCTAAATCCAAATTTCATCTGTCTTTTTTCACAAAGGTCGATGGGGACTCAAACTATTAGCTGGAATTAAATTTCCTTTTTTTTTTTTTATGCCCTATTTACAAGTAGTAGAATTACCCAAAGCAGGAAGCCAAAATAATAATAATAATAATAATAATAATAATAATAAGACAAACAGGCAAACCACAACATACACCATCTCTGTATCATTGGAAATTGGTTTCCCATTATATGTAAAAATCTCCATTCCTAGCCCCCCATGTCCTAGCCCCACTATCCTTATGTAGTTATCTGGGCATTCTGATGAGTGCTGGGTGTGTGGGTGTTCCTAGGCAAGACTGTTTAGTTCTGTGAGTGCTTCATCGGGCTCAGTACAGTTTGACTCAACCCCCTCCTGGAGGTAGGGAAGTCACAGATGGCCAGGAGGGAGCTTTTGACATGAATGGATATACTCATTCAAGTTCCTGTCTGAGCTAGTCAGAGGCTGCTCTGTGGCTGTTGATCTTCCATGTCTTGCATGGCATATGGGGCCCCCAGCGTCCTTCCCGCACGATGCCCAGTAATAGAGTCGTGTGTGAGGAGAGCCTGGCAGCCTGGCTATAAAAAATGGCTGCACGATGCTTCAGCACATCTTTATCTTTTTCCTTTTGCATTTCCAGTTGCCACAATCTTCAAATGGAGATTTCCCTTCTCCAGGAGAAGATCTCTCATCTGCAGTTTGTGATTCATTCCCAACATCAGAACCTGCGCAGTGTCATCCAGGAGGTCAGATTAATCAAGTGTGTTTCTCTGGTAGATGGTATGCTTACAGTAAGAAGACTGAATACAGGCAGCTTGCCTGGACTTCACAAGCAGTGAGATTTTTCTCCCCGCTGACATTTCCTTTTTCATCCCATGTAACCTGACTCTGTTTTCAATGCCTTCTTCGGTCTGTATGCCAACACCTGTTGTGTTCTCAGTGAAGATGTTTGGGAGATTGTGTTTAACTGCTCTTTAGGTTTCAGTGTTTTTTTTTTAAAGTGTTCCGAGCCAGGTAATGTACACTGTTCTTTAGAAGATTTTGGAGATTACAAGATTCAGCCCTTTTTGAGGAAGCAAGGATCTGTTTTTATAACCTCACAAACAGTAAATTTACTTAGTAGGTGTGTGGGGAGGGGGTGTCACCTGGCCATTCTTTTCTGGGAACATCCTGGCAGGTGAAAGAGAGGCTGGTGGCAGCCAGATGGATGGTGGATTGTGAACTCATACGATTTACTTCAAGAATTCTATGGATCTGGTTCAGGGGCTGTGCTTTCGACTTAAAATCAGACCTTCACTCATTTTTTACTACCTAATATTTGTTTCCAAAAAGAATCCTTTCAAATAACTCCAATGCCTCCCTGATACAAATGTACCATTTGGCTAGGACCTCACCAAAAGGCCAGAGAATTGAGTCATGGCACTTGGGAGCCAGGAAGGATGTAGGGGGCAGCCCACGTTCTCCTTTGACAGATGAGAAAACAGAGGCTCGCAGTAGTTAAGTGACAGGGCTGGTAGTGGCAGAACCAGCCTTCGAACCCGTGGGTTTCCTCTCTTCCCACTCTGTTCTGGTCATCCGCCCACCTCCCCAGTTGCACACTGCTTTTTGGCAGATGCTTTTCTTCCCAAGCAAAGCAGGCTCACCTCATTATGCCGCGGGTTGACCAGATCTCTGCCCTCGGGAGCTTCCCCATTCTGGGTGGTGGCCTTGTGTGATGGCCACCAGCCTCTGCATCGGCAGTATGACCCTGTGTGTTGGAAACAGAAGGATGGCCAAAGCTGCTCTCCACAGGAGGCATGCCCACGGGTTTGGTTTAAACAGGTTTTCCAGAGATTACAGTGTTTAATAGGACTGCCCACACGCTCTCATCCCCAGGTGCCAATTTGCCCTGCTCTTTTCTATAAGCTACTGAATCCGCTAATGCTTTGGGATTTAATTTTTTTATTTGATGGATGTCAGTGGACCACAGAAACCTGTGCAGTGTCTGACTTAAGTAACTTCCCTGTTGTCTGACAAGACTTTTCCAATTGTGTTTCCTCATTCTTAGATGGAAGGATTAAAAAATAACTTAAAAGAACAAGATAAAAGAATTGAAAATCTGAAAGAAAAAGTTCACATACTTGAAGCCCAGGTAAGGAGGGAGTCTGCTGTATAGTTCAGTGTAAATGTGAGTGTGTGTGTGTGTGTGTGCGCTCGGTGTGTTTGTGAGCCTTTGTATGAATGACACCGTGAGTCCATATAAGGGCCGGTGTGTGCATGTGTCTGTGTGGGTTTATGAGTGTCTTTTTGTGAATGTGTGTGCATGTGCATCTTCTATGCATACGAAATTATGGATTTGTGGGAGAGGTACTCCTAATAATTACTGAAGTATTAAATATTATTTTATAATATTAAATTATTAGTATTAAATATTATGAAATTACTGTTAAAAGTTCATCCAAATTTTCCAGAATGCTTGCTCTCCTGGGGGGACAAATAAGAACATCTCTCCATGTGGACTTGAATTAGAAGCTCGATCAAGACCATCTGGGGTGAATTCAGCTCTGGCCAGATGGCTGGGTTTGCTGTCTTATGTCTTTGTTTCCTTCCCGCCCTGAGATGTCCTCTTTCCTCCTCTTTCCTCACTCACACCCATCATGGCTTGCACGGTTTGCCTCGGGGCTCATCCACTTCAAGAAGCCTCTTGTAGTTTTCTTATCTTTCAGTGTTTTGAAACATAACAATAACTTACTGTGATAAGACATGCTTTTCTTCCTGCCCACTCCTTCCCCTCTACACTAGGGAAGCCCTTTATAGGCTTTCAGCTGCAGGCGGAGGCTTGGCAGCACCCTGCCTCCCAGGAAGTGCAGCAAAGCCCACTGAGGCTGGAGCACCTGAAGACGCCACCCCTGCCTCCCCCCTGGGCTCTAGCTGGTGCTCAGTGCTTCCGCCTCTGCCTCTGTCAGAGGCTCTTAACTGACCGCCTGGGCCTGGTCACCTTTTCTCCTTCATTCTGTAGTATTTTGACTTCCTGCTTGTCCCCCTGCCAATGTTACATGAGATGCTCTGACTGCCACCAGACACCTCATCATCGTTGGGGGCTTTTCTCGTCCCCAGGATAGACCACGCACCCAGCACACTGCCCCACCTTTTCTCTTGCCACCTGTTCTCTCAGCTCTCCCCAAACAGAAGGAACAAGTCATCATAACATAAAGAGGTTGTAAATAGTTTTACATCTTAAATTTTTTTTTTAAAGATTTTATTTATTTTTTAGAGAGTGAGCGAGAGAGAAACAGCATGAGAGGGGAGAGGGTCAGAGGGAGAAGCAGGCTCCCCGCTGAGCGGGGAGCCCGATGTGGGACTTGATCCCAGGACCCTGGGATCATGACCTGAGCCGAAGGCAGATGCTTAACCATCTGAGCCACCCAGGCGCCCTTACATCTTAAATTTTGTAACCAGAGCTGTGGTGTGCCAATTCTCCCTTCCCAGAGGACCGCTGTTCTCTCTCTCTTCTGGAAGGTGAACCCTATGAGCCTCAGACTTTCCTTAGATTTTCACCTTCTTTAGGCTACACATGGCTATTTGAGAAAGACCATGCTTGCAGCTCTGTGCAGCTGAAAAATGCAGGGATGGGGGAATAATTGGCTCAAAACTCGTGTCCACTCAAGTGCCCAGTAATGGCTTGTCAGTTTACATCGAGGGGTTCAGATGATGGGATTCAGACCACATTAGAGCCTCTTCCTCCCAAAAAATGTCCCTATAGGGATTTCCTCACTGCTTTTTGTACTTAGTGGATTTTTTTGGCAAATGTTACTTGATAAAATATTTTTCTTATATTATTTTTAATGTAATTAATATATATTCATTCATTCCATACCAATTAGGAAATATGAATAAGTACTTATAATAAGAACATCACGCAGACTTGCCATCCGTGGGTAATCACTCCGCACAGTTGTGTCCATCTGTATTTCTGTAGGACTCGATTTGCCTGTTCCATACCTGTGTGTATGTATTACATGGCATAATATCATACCCGTTTCATTGTATTTTTAAGCTTCATTCATTTGTTCACATTATCAATCTTGTTGTTAATCCTCTAAGTACTTACTGCGTGGCTGCTGGGGTGTAGAATTTTGGGAACTGACTAAGTTGGGGAAGTGGCTAAGTTCGGGAAAACAGTATTGGACAAAAGGGACATGAGGCCCGCACTCTGGAATTGACTGTCTAGAGAGGGAGACAGATGCATAAATGAACATGTAAATAGCACTATTGTGGAAGCATTCTGCAAGGAAAGAACAAGATGTTCTGACAGATAATACCTAGATGGAGGACTTAGCTTGGTGGGTGGGAAGAAGTTCTCTAAGAAAATGAATTTTAATCTGAGCCTAGTGAAAAATTGGGTGGTAGGGCTTGTCAGGAAGAGGGACAGGGAGCCATTGTGAGTGCTTCTAATCTAAGAGTTAGATGGAATAGCATGGGATGATATTGGAAAGGTAGGAAGGGGCTAGATCATAGACCATGCCAAAGAGTTTTTTTTCTCTATATAACAATATAACAAGAAGTCTTTGCTTAACAATCAGATTACATTTATGTTATCTTTTAAAATAGCCACTTTATTGATATACAATAATTTAATTAACTGAGTCCTTGTTATTGGACATTAGATTGTTTTTGGTATTGCTTTTGTAACAGCACTGAATTCAACATATTTATACAAACATCACTGATCATTTGTATATTTACTTCCTTCCTTAAGATAAATTTTTAGAAGCGGAATTGGTAACTCAAAGTATATCCATTTTTCAGGTTTTTGATAATGTGCTCTCTGACTCCCAGGGTTCTGCTGGATCAATCATCTCTCTTAGCAACAACAGCCCCACCTGCAGCTGCCTCTGCTCTAGCAGTCAAGTTTTTGCTCACTTTCAGTCCTTCAGGCCTGATATTTCTGATCTGCTCATAGTCTTATTTTTTCCTCTTCATTACTAAGGGATTTTAATACTTAGAAATCCTTTGTTATTATTTTAATAAAATCTAAGAAGGGAGACATGATAAACACATGTGCTCAGGTTCCCTTTTTGGACTGGGAATCCCATTTAAATCCAAGTTTATGTGTAATTCAGGAAGTTTGGTGTGAGGTAGGGATCTAACATTGTAGTTGTCTCACTTTATTGAGAAGTCTGGCCTTTATTCATGAATTTGAAGTGCCTATTATCCTAGACTGAGTTTTTATGTTGGAAATCTCTTCTGATGGTGTATCTGCCTATTTGGGCTCCAGTACCCTACTGCTTTACACATTGCACACTGGTCACACATTTTAATTGGAGATACTGTTAATCCGTCTCTGAGCTTTCACTTCACTGTGTTCTAGCCAGACATAATTAAGTGCCAGCTATCATCACAGGATTCAGGTATCAATGGTACTGCTGCTTTTAATCCAGTTTTATGTCCTTTAGTTGTGTCTGTTTATTTATATCATCCCAAAAATAAATGTTACCATCCTAAATAGGCTGGCAACTTAACTCAGATTGCTCAGGTACAGTACATTATCCAACTGGTCTTGTGGTCTAATAGTTAGACGGGAACAATGTATTTGTTTCCATTGTACTCTGTTTCTGTATTTCCAAATGCAGCAAATAATTGCTGATTAGCCACTCAGTGTTATATGCGAGAAAGCAACAGATTTGTTCCCTTCGTGGGAACTTCTTGGTTGATTGTAGACTCTCTGCAGTGATGTGCAAACACTGCTCAATACTATCTCAGATTCTCTGTACATAGCTCGATTTAAGCCTCTGTTTTTTAGTGTGTTCTTTCATAAAAGAGTCTTCAAACTATAGCAGTATCTGACGAATATCTTTATATTCTCAAAATTTCTTATCTTCAGTAAATAAATCTTTTCCTTCACAGCAAGAAGTTTTACAATGACCATTTCAGCTTTAAAAAAAGTCCAAGCTGCATCAATTTAATTGATTCATCAAATAGTTTTGTGTGTTTATGATGTACCAGGAAATGTTTCCAGTGCTGGGTATGGGTAACGCACAGAACAGACTGTCCCAGATCTCCTCTAGCTTATTAATTGAAGATACAGATAATAAGCACATAAACAAGTAAATAAACAATTTAATAAGGGAGGGACAAGTACTCTGAAAAGTGTAGAATGTGACAATGTGATAGTTATAGAGTGATGGGGGTCAGGAAGGGTATCTTTGAACCTGTGATATTTGACCAGGTACTTGAATTTGGTGAGTGTTTGAGCCATGGTTAGCCTATTTCTGGTCTGGTCCTAGTCAATGCTTTATTATGAAGTTCTTAAACTGGGGTGATTTATGCAGGGATATACTATCTTGCACTGCAATTATAAGACCACTGCCTATTTTGGAATCCATTAAATCACAGGGTGAATTGATTCCATTTATGATAAATGGTCACCCAAGCTTGAACAACCAAGTTAAACACATCACCTCTGTTTCTAAACCACAGACAGCATCATCCATACCAAAAACATTCATCTCTTTTTAGGCATGCTACATGCTTCATTTTATTTAACCTTCAAGATTACTCTTGGAGAAAGTTATCTATTACATTTTGTAAGTGATTAAACTGAGATCCAGAGAATTTAAGAAACTCGTTCAAAATCACTCATTTGAGTCTTATTGTCTTGGAAGCACAGGCTCCCGTCCTCCCATCACCACCACAAAAATCTATTTATTGGAGTGATTAAATAAGGGTGTGTTGGGGGGAGTACGTGTGTATGTGCATGTGCATATATATATGTGTGTGTGAAATACATGTGTGTGCATACAATATGTATTTAGAAATGAAGAGTTACTAAATTTGCCTGACCATTTATATTGATTTTAGTCATATTCACAGTTACTATATTACAGTGTTTTCCACTTTCCAGTGTTTTGAGTCATAGTAACAAATACTTTTTTTCTGTGGCTGTCTTTCTATCCTAGCAGGGTTTTTTTTTTTCCCCTCTCCAGAAGGGAGGTATATTCACTCATATAACTCAATCCTTTAAAACAACAACGAGGGGTGCCTGGGTGGCTCAGTCGTTAAGCGCCTGCCTTCGGCTCAGGTCATGGTCCCAAGGTCCTGGGATTGAGCCCCGCATCGGGCTCCCTGCTCAGCAGGAAGCCTGCTTCTCCCTCTCCCACTCCCCCTGCTTGTGTTCCCCACTCTCTCTGTGTCTCTATCTGCCAAATAAATAAATAAAATCTTGGGACACCTGGGTGGCTCAGTCGTTAAGTGTCTGCCTTCGGCTCAGGTCATGGTCCCAAGGTCCTGGGATTGAGCCCCGCATCGGGCTCCCTGCTCAGCAGGAAGCCTGCTTCTCCCTCTCCCACTCCCCCTGCTTGTGTTCCCCACTCTCTCTGTGTCTCTATCTGCCAAATAAATAAATAAAATCTTGGGACACCTGGGTGGCTCAGTCGTTAAGTGTCTGCCTTCGGCTCAGGTCATGATCCCAGGGTCCTGGGATCGAGCCCCTCATCGGGCTCCCTGCTCTGCGGGAAGCCTGCTTCTCCCTCTCCCGCTCCCCCTGCTTGTGTTCTCTCTCTCGCTGTGTCTCTCTCTGTCAAATAAATAAATAAAAATCTTTAAAAAATAAATAAATAAATAAATAAATAAATAAATAAATAAATAAAATCTTTTTAAAAAATAATAAATAAAAAAATAAAACAACAACGACAAGAACAACCTTAAGGTTTTTAAAACTTTTAAAAATATCACTGGAAGATTTCTGCTTAACTCTACCAAAATTATTTACTGTTCTTTCTATTTTTGCCATATCTTTATCACCTTCATTTTCATCTCTGACGTTCCTCTCACATCTCATGCATTTCTAGCTTCCTGACTAATCATGGGCTGATACGGAAATACGAAATACATCTTCAGAAATTCCTCCATTTTCTAAACACTGAAGATTATCTTATTTTATATACTCACCGTGATCCCTAAAATTTAATTTAACAAGAATGTGTTGATAGAAAGGATGCAAAAAGTAGGTTCTTTTGGAAAACTGCATCAATAAACTATCCTTGGACAGAGTCATCATAATGGCAGACATATTCTGGTCAGTGATTTGCAGTTTTGTAAAGTAGTGATGTAATAAAACTCCTGGATGTGGCTGTTCTAATGACAGGAAAAACTATGAAAATGAATCAAAAATAAATACCTAAATCTAGCAGCTTAAATAAATCAGCATGGAAGCTGAGATAAATGAACATAAAGACAGTCTAACATGATAACTCTTATGCTTTTGTATTGTTTGATACTCAGCAACTTGAGAAACTAGGAGTTTGTTTTGGAAAAACTCCCAGTAGCCTTTACGTAATTGTCCAGCCTGGATTATTTTTATTCCCATATTCATTGTCATCAGGATGTTATGATTCATATCGCTTCCTAACTTGCAGAGTATTGTATAGAGACTAGTTTTTCTCAGCAACATACTTGGCCTGTGATAGGTGCCTACGCTTGTTTGGAGTGCATATTAGCTTTATCTCCATTACACAAGGAACATCTTTATTATCAATTTATCAAATGTGAAGTACATTTCCTATGTGAGACTTAAGTGCTTAACTCTTGAAACATCACAGCAAAAAGATCATTGCGTGTGAAGATGTTTGCTCCATTTTTTTAGTTATTATGCAGCATAGATGCTGAAGGAGAAGAAGGGGCAAAATCCACATCTTGTCTCTGGTTTCCCTACTCCGGTAGTTCTTCATCTTAGCAGCACATTAGAATCACCTGTGGAGTCTTGAAAACTTTTTTTTTAAGATTTTATTTATTTTATCTTAGAGAAAGGGGGGTGGGGGAGGGGCAGAGGTCTCAAGAAGATTCTCAGCTGAGCATGGAGCCAGAAGCAGGGCTCAATCCCACAACCCTGAGATGGTGATCTGAGCTGAAACCAAGAGTCAGAGGCTTAACAGACTGAGCCGCCCAGGCGCCCCATGAGTCTTGAAAACTCTTGAACCCAGACTACAACCAAGTTAAATAGAATCTCTGGGGTGAGGCTCTAACATGAGTAGATTTTAAATCTCCCCAGATACGGACACCTGAGTGGCTCAGTCCGTTAAGCGTCTGCCTTCGGCTTAGGTCATGATCCCAGGGTCCTGAGAGAAAGTCCTGCATTGGGCTCCTTGCTCAGCAGGGAGCCTGCTTCTCCATCTCCCTCTACTGCTCCCCCTGCTCGTGCGCACTCTCTCTCTGACAAATAAATAAATAAAATCTTTAAAAAAAAAAAAAAAGCTTTAATCTTCCCAGATAATTCCAATATAAAACCAGCACTGTAGTCCAGTGGTTCTCAAATTTGAGCAGATGTCAGAATCATCTGGTGAGCTTCTTAAAACACATCCCTTGGCCACCCTGGGTTTCTCAGTAGGTCTCGCTGTAGACTGAGGATCTGTAGTTCTAGCAGATTCCCGGGTGATGCTGATATTGCTGATATCCCGAGATCACACTTTAAGAACTGTTGCCTTAGTCTTTTCCCCCCTTCTTTTCCACCTACACCATTTCACTTTGTTTTCAAGGTCCAGGTGAAATCTCCTTGTGTATGAAAATGTTACAAAGTTACTCTAGTCACACTGATTTCTGTTACACCTTTTATGTAGTAATTAATTACCTACTGCCTATGGCATCTCCTGAACCGCCTTTATTTATTTATATTTTTTAATGTTCACGTGTTTGTCTTGTCACCCCCACTATACTGTGCATCCTGTGCGCTGGAGAGAGAGATCCACGTTTTCCTGTGTTGCTTCACATTCACTCTGCTCCCGGCTTGGTGCCATAGACATGGCAGAGACTCACTAACTGGATGGATGGATGGATGGATGGTTGCGGTAGATTAATTGTGGATTAATTTCCTGACAGTTTCCTTTTTTCTGTTTCATGTTTATCAGATCTGAAGTCCCTTTAGAAATCATTGAATCTCTATGTCCTCCTGGGGCTCACCATTTACTTATTTGTAATGTAAGGAGGCTGGGCTAATTCCTATGGTTACAGAAAAATAACATCTTGCAGGGAAAAGAGCATAGGATTTGGAGTCAGGCCTGCATAAAGCCCACACATTTATATAGAATGGGTGATCAGAAACAAGTTACCCAAACAATTTGAGCTTTGCCGGCCTTATTTCTTTAATATGCGTAAGAGTAAAAGTCATCAAAGAAAAGATTTTATAGAAAGCACCTGGCAAAGGTCTTGACATTTGCTAGGCACTCATAATTATGAACTCTCTTGCTTCCATCAAAATTCTAACATCTATTTCCCCAAACCATGCATTTGGTGTTGGCTTACTTCAAACCATCAGGTGGACTTTTAGGAAATACCTTTTAAACTTCAATTATATGATTCTTTATTTAACTCCTTAGTTTCCTACTAGGGATCGGAGCTGGTGTGTTACTGTCCTTTGGAGGCCACAGCTCCACCTGTCAGCCTCCCACCCAGCTACCTTCCAGTCCCAGCCCCTGCTATTCTGGTGTATCCTTCAAACAACTCTGACCTGTCAGTGCGGCCCACTGACAACTCCACCCTGGGCATGATGCTTTGCTGTTTTAAGTCTCATGTTCCAGATCTGTGAAATCTGTGCTTGGTGTGGCCATGCGATAGAGGAAGCATGGGCTCTGGACCAGGAGGACCCGACTCTGAACCTGAGTTCTGCCATGAACAAGATGTTGGGCACTTAAGCTCTTTGGATCTCAGTCTTTAGCTATAAAAATGGTACTTGGACCAGAAAATCATAACCAACTGTCTTTAAGTCTTAAAATCCATGCCAAACACTGAGCTGAGTACATATTGATATCTCATTTCAGAACCTGTGAAGAAGAGACTGTGATTCTAGCATACAGATGAGGAAATTGGGCACAGAGAGGTTAGGTAACTGAGGTCATGTAGCTACTGAGTGGCTAGGATTTGTACCTGAGAACTTAAACTCTTGCCTTCCTTATTATCAGCCATTGCATTATTTCCTAGAATTATGAGAGTGCTCCCAGATTTAAAATATTATGATCATATGAGATTTGTTTCTTCCAACTAATACATGATAGGCAAGATGTGTATCATTTACCACTAGCATAGAGATCAAGAAATTGAGGCTTCAGTGAGAAAATTGAGGCTAAAAATGACATGAACTATAAAGAATAGATGGTGCTTATTTTCATGGAGTTTATAATCAAGAGATTGCACAAGAACGACAAACTTGTAATCAATATCGTGGGTGTCTTTAACAAGGTCCTTTAACGAAGTTATTTTATGAACTTCTTTGCATCTGTCTATGTAAAATCGAACATAGTTCAGCTGTTAAATTTCAGAAGCTCACGTAGACTACTCCACTTTTATGCACTTTTCCAGGTGTGTTTGTAATTTCAGAGATAATAGGGACTCTCAACTGGCTGCATTCTGTGTTCTAATAGAGTGACTGAAACAACAAGCTTACTGCCAAGGAATGATGTAGGTGGTGGGTTGATCAGAAGCATTAAGCATGTGGCTAATAAATGTGCTACCTATCTAATCTCTGCACATTTTTTTTTCAACTGTAGAATAAAGAACTAAAAACCAAGGTGGCGCTTCGGTCTGAAACACCTAGGACAACAGTATCTAAGGCTGTCTCTACAAGGTAAGGTTTTCCTTCCCTCACCGCCATCTGCCTTCACAGCTTCTGTTGGACATTCATTCATGAATGTTGACATTTATCCCACTTGAGAAATATTCCAATCTATTAATACTTACGTAGTAATTATTGGTTTACTGTCTGTTTCCCAGTTCTTGAGAAGAAGACCTGTGTTATTTGTTCATCATTGAATCCTCAAAGCCTAACATAGAAATACTTACTGAATAAATGAGTGAATAAATTTAGATATCTTTTCTTGCTTTGTGCCATAAAATAAGTCTAGTCTTGGCTTCAACACTTTCTCCAAGCAGCACACATCATTTCTTCTCTGTTGTCCTTGTTTCTCTGTTTACTCCTGTGTTCTGTAGCATTGATGAGCATATTAATTATAAATTGTTTGTATTTATTTAAATGTCCACGTCTGTATCTCAAACCAGGTAGATTGTCAATGTCAAGAAGGCAGGAGTAGTTCCTTGTATTTCACTTTATTTCCTAAATTGCTAAGGGCAAGTGTCTTCAGTAACTACCTAATAATGACTGAATCAAGCAATGATAATGGCCCATGACAGCAATCAAAATGATGGCTGAAACCATCAAAATCACTTTCTAATGGTGACAGAATCTGAAATGCCAAGTTGTAAAAAAAAAAACAAAAAAACTTCTGGGCTCAAATCTTATTTCCATAATACTCTGTGAAATTATCACTTAAAAGAAAACATAGTCTGTAATTACATGAATCATTTAAAAAGTGATTAAAAACTTCCTGTTCTAGCAGCTTTTGAATTTCCCAGTCTAGTCCCTCTAGGGCAAAAGCCTGTTTTCTGAAACTCACCTTGGTGCAGTGCCTGAGGTAGAAAATCAGGTCTGCTGTGATCAGCCTCAGTCCAGGAAATCAGGTAGATCTATCTTCCTGTTCAGAATTCCCTGCAGCCTTGCTTCACTTTGCTAAGGATGCATGTAATTAGAGACGAGATGAAGCCATTCTGAATCGAGGCTTCTAGAATCCTTGGGCTCCCAGAGGCTAAGTTATCAACTTTTTGGCCACTGGCCCTGCAACTTCCAATAAAGAAAAGAAACTAAGCCCCAGAAAGAGTAAAGGAGGAAGTGAATACCCACGATTCAGAAGCAGTGAGAGAAGAAGTCACTTGAGTGGGGGAAGAAATGAAGAGTCCAGAATAGAAGGGCAAGCATGACTTCCCAAGGGAAAGGAAGGGGATTGCTTTGTTGTTCCCTTACCAGATACCAGTCCCCTTGGGGTGGTAGGGCATGGTGGCCCTCCTCAGCTGTTTTGATCCTGTAGGGAGTGCAGCCAGAGTGGAGTAGAGGAGAGAGAGTCAGGTTGTCTCTAGATTGTAACTACTTCAGTATGGAATGTGGAAACTCTAGCCCGTGCAGAGGGAAGGTGCTGGAGAGAAGGACTTCTACCGCCAATTCTTTAGCTGTAGTAAATTAATTATTCAGGTCTTTTAGTTTTAAAGATATTTTTTTCTTCCTATCTCATCTTTGTAAGATAAAATATGGCCAATTGGCTGCTTTGAGGATGTAAGCAGTAGTATGGTTTGGGAAGTCTTGGGTTCGCCCATAGGCAATGGAATTATAACTCAAGGGAGAGACTGGAGTAGAAAAGTAGCTGGTAAGGGGGAAAATAATCATGTACACTTAAAGATTAATCCAGGCAAATCTCTTTCATCACCCATAAAATATAGCTCTATATCTCTCAGTAAGTACTACAAAGCAAGGTGTTTCCCTTGAGCATTAGAACAGAGAGATATTTCTTGAACACCGGAAGAAGTGTTTGCTGGAGATTCGGGGTCATGCTCTTAGACAACAACAACAGAACACACATAGAAGCCTGTGTGCGTGTGCGTGTGTGTGTGTGTGTATACTCACATATACATACATGTATATTTTAAATACTAGAATCACACACGTTGAGGAGAGAAGTTCAGACAGAACTGCAGTGTCCTGGCAGAAGGGTTGATTTGCTTCCTGTCTCCAAGTCACTCCAGTGTATGTCTTCACTCTGTGGAATGGCAGACACAGGCTCGCTCGCTCTCTCCCCTCCCCTCACTCTTCCTCACTCTTGTCCTACTACAACTAGCTGAATTGACATAAGGTTGATGCTTCCACATGTGATTCTAGTATGTCTCATGGGGAATTAGAGTCAGCCAATTAACCACCATATCTCTTAGGTTAAAGCAATTAGTGCAAACTGGGTAGTAGAGCGGTGGTGGAGATGGTAATCATGGCGATACAGCACTTACATCACGAACATTTAATGTGCTCGATTTCAATAATTGTATGGTCTTTTCTACAGTGAATTGAAGACTGTCAACACCACGCCCTATTTGATGTTGATTAGGCTCCGGAAATGAGCTGACTGGCTGAATATCTGAATGAGAAAGATTGCTACGTGGGTCTTATTTATTCCTCAAAACACAGCCTAAACTTGCATGCTGAAATGGCTCAATGCCAGCATTCAATGGAATGTACTATACATCAACAGTTTTGCAGGAAGATGACATTCCAGAAAATCAAACAAAATATATATTCAGGGGAAGGAACTCTTTCTTCAAAACTTACGAAATGGGTGAAGAGACCAGGGGCTTTCGATGGAAAATGAATTTTGCTTTAAACTTAAAAAAAAAGATCTGAATCTTTCTTGCAGATTTTTGCTGAAGGGAGTGGTTTAAGGTTGTTGACAGTGACTTTTTGATAGTGGTTTTTGTGTATATAAATGGAAGAGTATATGTGTGTATGTGTAAATGATATATTTTAAAGTTCACTTTGGATAATAAAAAAAATATCTTAACATGAATTTATAAATTCACCTCCTGACCCAGTGTTCATGGGAGAGTTACTGTATTATGGGCAGGAGAAGGAGTAGGTTCTGTTTAGCTAATTCCCCAACCCACATAACCCTCCAAAGTTGAGAATCGTGGCGTCTCACCACACCTGAGGAAGCCACTATTCTTCAGTTGGGATTGAAAATTGGTTGCTAGAGACAACCCACAAATAAGCACAAAGAAATGGAGCTTGTGGCTCTCTCTGGCTTCGTGACTAATTTTCTTTTCAAGATTCATTATTATCTGCGACGATCTTTGGAGGGAAGAATAGAAACACAATGCTGTCAGCTCATACCTCCATAAACATGCTGTCTGCAGCCAGGAAGACTCTGAATTCATGAATTGGAATTAAATGTCCAGTGCTTTGGTGAGAGCGTATTTACATTTTGATATGGGCATTCATCACAGGTGGAGTCTGGGATTGCTGTGAGGAAAACCAGACTCTGATTTGCAGAAATGCAAACATGTTGACCCTCCAGAAGAGAACACACTTCAACTAAAGGAATAATGGGCAGCCTTAGTCCCACTGAAGGCTGAATTGCTTGTAAGCCTTTTGATGGTCCTCTCGGGTGTAGGACTGTAAACATTTTCTCAGGAAAGATGCTGGAAGTCTTTCAATGTGGAATGTGAAATAGCAGTGTTATCTATGAAATATTTAAAAATACATACAAATGAGATAAAGTAATGTATTTATAAATTTATCAAAGTACTGTAATCCTTGGGGCACCTGGGTGGCTCAGTCAGTTAAGCATCTGCTTTTGGCTCGGGTCATGATCTCAGGGTCCTGGGATCTTCCTCTGTCCTCTGCCTCCTCCCCACCGCTCATACTCTGTCTCTCCCTCTCTCTCAAATAAATATTTTTTAAAGTACTGTAATCCTTGAAATGTATGTGTGCATTTCATGCTTCACGTTTTTATTGCTTGCTAGTTTTTCAGCTGTAGTTATCGAATAACATTTATGGCACAGTTCCTATACCAGGAACAATTCTAAGTACTTTACCTGTATTAATTACTTTAATCTTCCCAATAGGCCTCAAAAGCAGGTCATATTATTACTCCATCTTCTAGGGGTGGGTACTGTGAGGTCCAGGACTTTTCCCTGCTGCTAATGATGGAGCAAGGATTGGGACCTCTGACTTGGCTATCAATAGTCCTTCTATCTGCTCACTTGGTGGTCTGAGATATTTCCACAATTTGGAAATACCTCTTTTTGCTCCTTTAAAAACACAGCTTCCGGGCGCCTGGGTGGCTCAGTTGGTTAAGCGACTGCCTTCGGCTCAGGTCATGATCCTGGAGTCCCTGGATCGAGTCCCATATCGGGCTCCCTGCTCGGCAGGGAGTCTGCTTCTCCCTCTGACCCTCCCCCCTCTCATGTACTTGCTCTCTCTCATTCTCTCTCTCTCAAATAAATAAATAAAATCTTTAAAAAAAAAAATTTAAAAAAAAATAAAAAAAAATAAAAAAATAAAAAAATAAAAACACAGCTTCCTTGTTGACTATGTGCATTATCCCACAAATGACACTCAGAAATAACCCTGACTCATAAAGTAAATATTTTGCTACAATTAAGTTGGCCTTTCACCTGTTGGATTACCCTCATGCAAACTTAATTCAGAAAAACTTCCCTGCTAAAAATCTTCTAATTCTACATTTATTACCATGACCTTATGCCACATGGAAGATTTTTTGGTAGTATATTTTCAGGCACATTTGTAGGAGATTGGGATCATGAACTCTGTCAAGTATTTGCAGTGTGGTAGGCGAATTTGCCTTTCACCTGGAGACTACTTAGGTTTCGTTTTACACCCCAATCACCATGCAGGATGGTAATAAATGTGAGAGTTTGGAATGGATCCATCTAACTGAGCTAACAACTAGAATGATTCCCATTAGAATAATGTACTCTAGAGTCAAAAATGGGAAGACACTGTTGGATTTAATTTAGGTTTAACTCTGCTCATTTTTGAACATGGAAGTCTACTGGACGTGATACAGCTAGGACCTGGTCATGTGCTCTCCACGTTCACCCTGGAATGGCCTTTGGATTTCCTGAGAATAAGAACAAACAGTTTCAGAAGCTTAAAAAGGTTTGGACTCTTCAAATACGAAAGTATGTTTTTAGTAGCATCAGCAATATCATTTATTTGTCATATGTGGATTATGTCCTCTATCTTTATTTCAGCTTTTATGATTTGGAATGTTTTTTGAATAAATATTTCTGAGCGATGAAACAAATGATCATAGTGAAGAATAAAAAGCATTAACCTAAAAGTAGTACAACAAGAGAAATACAGGAAAAGAAAAACCAGTTTAGTTGTAGTCTAAATAATTGTCCTTATAATTAGACTAATCAATATATCAGATAAGAAGGTCTGAGGTGGATCTTGAAGTGAATACAGGAAGGTGGAAAATAAAAAGAAACTTTGTTTCACTTTGATTACATATTGTTACAAATTATCATTAAGAAACGTTTAAGCAACAACAAAATGTCTAAACAATTGGTATAATACATACATCTTTTGAATAATTGCTTATGGTATGCCTTACAATAAAATTTATATCATATTTTGTTTATTTTTTGTTCTCATTTCTTTTTACATGAAAATTATTACACATAAGTGAATTAAGTCATTTTTATTTGATTGTTTATGACAATATAACCCATAGTAAATGGATTGTTTTTGCCAGTGAACAGATATTTAGATAGCTCCCTGAGTTTTTCTGTTAATTTTCCCTGGATCCAAATTAATGGAAAAAGTAATCTATTAAGTTTTTATCCTGAATTTGAAAAAATAATAGCATTATTATAAAATTAAGAACAAACACACTTCTCAAACATTTCATTTCTTTATTTTGAAAATATTTACCTCTCCTCTGAGCTGGGAATAATTAGAGAATCCTATCAATATTGAAGTAGGGACCCAATCCATCAGGAGCTGAAAATTCCTCACTAATGTTAGCATTATCACTCCCGCCCCCCACTTCCTCCCTTCTGTACTTCCTTCTTTCTTTTATTTTTTTAGTGGGAAATATTCAAGATGCAATAAAGATTTAAATAATCATATTTAATCGCTTTATTATTAAAGTATATACTTATAAGTGTTAAAAATTGAACTAGAATTACAGAAAGTTGGGATTTATCCTAAGCATGCAAGGTTGTTTTATCATTTGAAAATCAATGTAATTAACCATATATACATAATAAAGAAAAACCATATAATTGTTTTAGTAAGTGAAGGAAAGTATTTGATAAAATTCAGCACTCATTCATAATAAAAACTCAGCTAAAATAAAAAGACTGGCCTTACTATGTGGAACAACCAAATCATATGCTAAAGGTGAGAATACAAATACGGTAGAAGCACTTGGGGAAACAGGTTGTTTCTTTAAAAGTTAAATATACACCTGCCATATGACCTAGCCACTCCATTCTTCAGTTTGTTGTTGCTGTTGTTTTGTTTTTTTACCAAGAGAAACAACAGCTTCTGTCCACATAATAATGTGTATCTGAATTTTCATGGCAATTTTGTTTGTAATAGCCAAAAACTGAAAACAAAACAGATGTCCATTAACAGGTGAACAGGTAAACAAAATGCGGTACATCCATACTTTAGAATATAACTCAATAAAAAGAAACAAAAAGCACAAACAAATATATACAACAATGGATAACCATTATCCGTAGTGAAAGAATCTAGAGGAAAAAGGACATAATGTGTGATTCCAGAGGGTCAGAGAGCAAATCAGTATTTGCCTGGGGACACGAGAGAAGAGTGCAGGGGAGTACAGAGAAACATAGGGAGGGAGTAGAAATGTCCAGTGTGTTGATATTGGTGATGTCATGGATGTGTTCCATGACAAAATCAATACCTTGTACAATTTAAATATTTACCTCAATAAAATAGTAAAAAAAATTTTTAAGTTGACACTATGTTATTCTATAGTCACCCAATCAGGTTCTCACATAAGATTCATTCATTCTTTTACTTTCAACAAATATTTTATTGAGTGCCCTCTATTTGCCAGGCACTGTTCTAAATGCCAGGGGTATGACAGTGGAGAAAGAAAAGGGCATGCGTGTGTCAGGGAAGAATGAAAAAGGAAAAATCTCTACCTTCACGTAAATATATTCTAGGGACAAAAAACAGATAATAAAGTCAGAGACGTCCCATGGACTGTGAAGAAAAATCAAGCCGAACACAGGGGTCAGGAGTTACCAGGGGGAAGGGTTGTGGTTGCAATTTTAAACTGGGTGATCATTTTAAACGTGGTAACTATGGCTTGGTAATTTAAAGAGGATAGTCACTTTATTTTTTTTAAGATTTTATTTATTTATTTGTCAGAGAGAGAGCACAAGCAGGGGGGGCAGCAGGCAGAGGGAGAAGCAGACTCCCCGCCGAGCAGGGAGCCCGATGTGGGACTGGAGCCCGATGTGGGACTCGATCCCAGGACCCCGGGATCATGACCTGAGCCGAAGGCAGACGCTTAACTGACTGAGCCACCCAGGCGTCCCAGGATAGTTATTTTAAATAAGGCCTCTCTCTTTCGAGGTAACATTTAAGCACAAACAGAAAGAAGGCTAAGAAAGTGACCAAACGAAGGTGTTGTTATTTGGTGGAGGAGGGGCCCAGGAAGAGGCGGGCACAGGTGTGGAGGCTCCAGAGGACAGGCAGACCAGGTGTGTCCCCGAAGAGCCGGGACATCAGTGCGGCTGGACTGGCAGGTGAAGAATAAGTCCTAATATTGTCTAAATCATTTTCCATGCAACATATTCTTTCACGTATCCCTTGTATAAATCATTCCTTTTATTTGAATAATAAATTATCCTTCCAGTTCTTTGAATTCTGAGCAGCGGTAAGCTAATGAGTTTTAGGAAACTGTATCTCGGTTCCTGTTTGTCTATGTTTTCCTAACATACTGACAAAGCCCATGTTTTCTGGAAGGTACAGTGAAGGGAAAACTCTTAAAAGGTTCAGCCGAGTCGTCTTATTTTGACTTTATCCTCTTTTTTTTTTTAAGATTTTTTTATTTTTATTTATTTGACAGACACAGCGCGAGAGAGGGAACGCAAGCAGGGGGAGTGGGAGAGGGAGAAGCAGGCTCCCCGCTGAGCGGGGAGCCCGATGCGGGGCTCGATCCCAGGACCCTGGGACCATGACCCTAGCCGAAGGCAGACGCTTAACGACTGAGCCACCCAGGCGCCCCTTGACTTTACACTCCCTGCCTAGAGGACTCATGAGGAACTGCTCTTGGAAGTCAAGTGAGGAGAGGGTCCAGGAAGTTAGGTAATGTGTATTCATAATCCAATAATTAGCACGATTCCAAATCCTCCTTCTGCTTCATTTTTTTTCATCAGTGAATGAGTCATGATATAAATTTCTCTGGAGAATCAAGCAAACAGATTGAAGTTGTCTGCTATCAACCTCACTGCTGCTTTTTTTTTTTTTTAATCTTTCTGGTAAGGAAGAGTCATTTTCTCAGAGACCTACAAAAATGATTTAAAGCTTTGATAATTTCAACTATCTGATTATTATCACAAAACATTTCTAATACCTATACTATCACCTTAGTCAAATTATAATTTGTGTGTTGGCTTCGTAAAGCATAACGTAAGTCCCCTAAATGAGTTTCTAACAGAAGAGCAATGCTCACGGTCTTAGAATTTTATTTATTTTTTAAAAAGATTTATTTATCTGATAGCGAGAGATAGCATGAGCAGGGGAAGTGGCAGAGGGAAAGGGGAAGCAGACTCCCCACTGACCACGGAACCTGATGTGGGGCTCCATCCCAGGACGCTGGTCATGACCAGAGCCAAAACCAAGTGTGGGACACTTAACCAAGTGAGCCACCCAGGCGCCCCTAGAATTAGAATTTTATATTAGAAATGAAATTCTTCTTGGTATGAGAGAGTGAAAAATCCAAATACCTTAGTTTTTTAAAAGAGCTCTCTTTTCCTCATTAAAAACAATGAATGTCAAGATCGACTTTTTTCCGTCCCTCAATATGGAGCATGCTAGGACTATTTAAGAATCCTATAAAACCATTAGGAAAAGCAAGTTCTTAACGACTTGTCATAATTTTTTTAAAAAGATTTGATTTATTTATTTGACAGAGAGCAAGACAGCGAGAGAGGGAACACAGCAGGGGGAGTGGGAGAGGGAGAAGCAGGCTTCCCGCATAGCAGGGAGCCCAATGTGGGACTTGATCCCAAGACTCTGGGATCATGACCTGAGCCGAAGGCAGACGCCCAACAGCTGAGCCACCCAGGCGACCCTCTTGTCATAAATTATTTAAGATGAACCCAGGGGGCAAAGGTTCTGCCTATGTAAAACAGCATTATTGCTACCAGGGAGCAAAGTTGAAAGCATGGTGTCAAAGATTTATTTGCCTGCAGTGGGAGAGTTGTTTATCTTTAAATTAAAAACTCATCATTATCTTGGCGAAGACTAAGTAACATATGGAATGAGAGCAACTCTGGGAAAAAGGCAGCCTTTGCAAAGGAATATTTAAAAGGAAGCGTATGGTTGTGGTCTTGAATTGGCCTTGAACATCAGTCCTTTCACCAGTCTGGGACTAAGGAAGTTACCATCACTTGCCTCAGCATTTTATTATGGGGAAGAAAAAGGCTATAATATACCAAGGTGCTTATGCATCATAGAATACTTTAACATGTGAACTGCTAATTCTATACATGTATCCTTCAAAATTATTAGAATATTTTCCTTGCACAGTCCAGTTTTTAAGCCAATAATAAATGAAAAATTTTAGAGGGATGGATAAAAATAACTTGGCTAAATCCAAATCACTTCTTAGTTCCTAGTTCCTAAGGGATACCATTTTAAATGTGAAACAAGTTCCGTGTTGAAACCAATTTAACACTCAACTTCAGCACAGAAATACGTTTGCTTTGAGCACACAAAATAATTGATAAAAATGCATTTTTATTCTTGAAAAATGTGCAGAAACCATCACTGAATACAGTTCACCACCATAGTATTCAAACCCAGACACCACAAAATCATTGGATGCTATGATTTCTGAAGCCACTAGAACTTTGGTACAACAAAACAATGATCCAACAGTGTTTGTCAGGCACCACAGTCCACTCAGGGGCACATAGAATAAAAACTCCATGTTTAAGGTTTTAATTTACATTCATAGCACTAGACAAAACAGATCTGTGGAGATGACAGACAAAACAATCAAAAGTGCTTAGCCCAAAAATGAGAATAATATCACTTAAAGGTAGACTGTTGGAATACAGTGAAGCACTTCAGTGTCACGTTAGAACATTGTCTATTTTTAACACAGTAAGCAAGATAACTTATTTCTCTTGGGTAATTTCAGATGCAGTCAGTATCTTTTACAAGGCAATGGACACAAAAGCCCTATTTGTACAAGGAGGATTTGACCACGTTGTAATATACTATCTAGAATGCAATTGGACTCCTTAGAATACCAAATGACATACAAAATGAGATAGAACTCATATTTTTCAATAACTTCAGATATATTAAACATTTTCCATCAAATACAATGACCTCAAATTGCTAACCATCGATTGCTTCCAATACCCACTACTAAATTTAGTGTTTTGTCCCTGCTATGTCCTTTCTCCTCATAAGTGGTTTAAATTACTGTAATTTTTTATTATTCTTAGCTTGTGATAATAGTGCCTGTTTAGGAAATGGAACATAATTTACAAACCAATTTCTTAGATTCTCCTCTGAGCCTGACATGAACCCTATGGGGGCACACAGGGTTTATACACTCCAAATGAGAAGAAGCCACTAAGATATTTAATGACATACTCATGGTCCCCAAATTGTTCTTTTTGGCCACTTTCCTTTCTATAATACTAAGCTTCCTCTCAAAGAGCATTTGGAAAAATAACCTGGAGAATAAAAGAGTAACTATAAGAATATGTTAATACTTTACTAAGGACAGACACCATTTTGATGTTCCAGCAGACATATGGACAAGAGCCATTGATTAAATAAGGGATCCATTAGGTTAAAGACAGACATGCTTGCTTCTACAAAATTTGCTAATGATGCTTAAAGACTAAATCACCTGAGGGATATTAGCCATGATTTCCATGACCTGTTGGAAAGAAAAGGAACTGGGAAACAAATTCAAATGACTCAATCCAAAGATGATTCCTTTGTATATTTTTTTCTTCAAAAGCTGACACCCTTTTAAATAACCCCACTATTTTGTTGCTAATGTTTTTGCTTGTTTTTTTTTTCTCTGTATATATGAAGCTAGAAAATATCTCAACCACACACTGTTGGTAAAAGGAGATCTGCAGAGAAGCATCTTTGTGATTCTACTCCTTAAAAAGTTAGTCAAAGTGCAATTTATGAGAAAATTAAATTCAGATAGAGCAAACAAAATGTTTCAAAGTCTCCCACATTTTGATGACACTAATGAAATATTTGGTGTTTAAATGTTTTTATTAGCTTAGTTCTAAGGGTATAAACTTCCACTTAATAGATAAAAATGATGGATAAAAATTAGCCTTGGATCTAGTTACAAAAACTCTTCTTGTTACTAATTCTTCTTCGTTTTCTACCTAAAAATCAACCTCAAAATACATGGTCTTCTCTGTGTTCTGCAATATTTACGAACACTATTCAGACTACGTTGAACTCTAACCTCTCTTTATAGTCCTTCCTTAACAATGTCATCATGATTGGGTCTCCACCCAAAAATTCTAAGGCAATAAATTCCTAAAATTCCCTAGATTTCTAACAATAATTTTTATCAGTCCTACCTTATGAGACAAATATCTTCATGGATTTATAAAGCACTGAAACAATAGTCATCTCAGATAATACTCTATTTCTACTTGCCATGTTTAGGAGCTCAGCACTCTCCCCAGAAATAAGTTTATATTATATTGGTCAAAGAGCAAGAAGAAAATACAGTTTTTGGTGAATTTTCATATAGTTTTGCAAATATAGACAGCATCTTGGCATCTTTAAAGATCATAAAGCTTTCCTTAAAATATTCACATACACTAGCCTTTTTTTGATGCTTTAGAGCTTGGTGGTACCGGGTGAAAGACAACTTTTCCATCCCTTTGGCTAACATCAGCTCTCAGATCTCTCTTTTAGAGAGTTAAGTATCTTAGGAAACCAAAAACTTCAGTATTATCTCTTTACAGTTTAAGTTTGAGATTATAACTCCAACATTCTTTATGGATGAGAATTTTCCCTCAGTGTTTTAGTACATACTAAAAGCATATGTACCCTTTCTTAAAGTGAACAGAGATACAGAACAGTGAATAATTTTGTGTCATGGACACTGGTTCCAGGTTTCCACTATACCTAGTTATTCACTATTACACATATTGCTTCTCTTTCTAGCTGATGAGTGTATATATGAGCTTCATCAAATTTGTTGATTTCCAGTTGATTCAATTTATAGTTTATAGAATATTTTGGCTGTTATTAATTTATTGTTTAATATAGTCACGTACTTCTCTATATTCAAGCTTCTCTTTCTTACAAAGGAGATAAGAAAGGTCTGATTAAAACCCTTGCCCAGGGGCTCCTGAGTGGCTCAGTCGTTAAGCGTCTGCCTTCGGCTAGGGTCATGGTCCCAGGGTCCTGGGATCGAGCCCCGCATCGGGCTCCCTGCTCTGCGGGAAGCCTGCTTCTCCCTCTCCCTCTCCCCCTGTTTGTGTTCCCTATCTCACTGTGTCTCTCTCTGTTAAATAAATTAAAAACTTAAAAAATAAATAAATAAAATAAAACCCTTGCCCAGTTGATTTTACCTGTACAGGTTGGCAGAGAATAACATACGCAGGAAGCATAACAAAGACACCCACTAATACATAGAATGGCCCATCTGGTGAAAAACAACAGATGAAATATTTACTTTAGAAAATGCTGGTTTTGAATTTTTTGCAATGTATACCTGATACTATGGAAATGATAGCAAATCAACTCAAGTGGTGACTTGCAAGAATTCTAAAACTTATGTTGAGACCCACAAGCTCAATTCTTAGCATTTCGCATTTTCTCTGTCAATTCATGACTCGTGACCCTCCTTCATACCAAGACAAACATGTTTTCTCAGCTATTTTTTGATACATTTTCAAAGGACTTTTCTTTTTCTGTATCAAAGAGTAACCTTGTACCTACTCACAGTTGAGTCTCAAGCCATGCCCACTCCCACTCTGTGAGAAGCTTAGGAAACCAAGAGATGGTGGTAATCATCCAATAACATCCTGTCCCCTTGCTGAAGATACCAGAATGCCTTTAGCTCCATTAGTGTCTCTGCGAGGACTTCCTCGAAGATGATATAATAGGAGATGAGCTATGTGGTTAGAGACAAATTTGGTCATAGAGGTACTTGAGGCACTGTGTTAGAGCAATGTAAACATCAAACTAGTGTAAGCACTCCAGAAATGATTTCTATATCGGAAAGGAATTTCATGCACATTTTAAATATTTCCCCAAAAGACAATATGGTTTACCAAAGCATTTGGGAGATAAGTAACAGGATATATCTTGGCTAAAAATACATGCTGTTTTGGGTTAAAGGAGGTATGCAATTCTTTAAAGCAGTCTGTACACTTTATGTTCCCAAATCAATTTGAAACTGTAAAATGAATTATATAATAATTAATTCTGAAATAATAAGTGAAGGAATTTCCAGTAATGGTGACATAGAATTTGGGATCAGATGTCAAACTTGACAGAGAAAATATTTTCTTAGATCAAGTATTTATTTATAAGTAGAATACTGTTTTAAATTAGTTTTCTTGTCTTCTTTAAATTTCATTCCTCTTGAGATTGTTGCCCAATAATTGTTATTTTTATAGGCAGAGTTCTATAATTATAGGCATCATCACCCTCTGCTTCATGCTACAGCTATCAAATAATAATCTTAAAATATACCCTGAAATAAATGCTCGTTGAATAACTAGCAATGACAGAATCTTGGCAAAAGTCAGTCAAACATATAACTGGAAAAAGAGTAGAAACAACAACAACAAAAAAAATCCAAAACAGAAAACCTTTAGGATTTCATAAAGGCTAAACATTCCCTATCATGGGAATGCCAGAGACATCACAATTTGAATCCAAAGGAGAGTTGATAAAATAACCAGAGAAGTTTACCAAATTTTGCCACAGCAATGATTATATTGTTTCTGCTCACTTTTCTTTCAGTCAAAACATCTTAGGTGTTAGCTAACAGATTTCTATCTTCATGGCTCAGGCACTGACGTCATGAAGCACATCATAGATAAAAACAGCATTGGAGGGAACACCCAAGCATGATGGATCCTAGAAGCTGGCATTATGTTTCCAAAGTCAGAGGAACCAAGCAGTTCACAGTGAGAATTTTGCAAGAACATTTTAGACAATCTCTTGGATCTGTGTTCCTAATATGGATTCTATACCAGACGTAGACTGTAGAGAGACGTTTGGGGGGGCGGTGGATAGGGGGACTGGGATTTAGGGTTTCTAATGTTTGTAATTTAAAAATATGCCTAGAGTATGGAAGAATGAAGTTTAATTGGCAAAATTTTATAGGAAGAACCATCTTATCATGATAAAAAGAGAAAACTTGAAGCATGATGCCTTTGTTAATGATAAAACTGAAATATTTAAATAATAGTTTAATAGGAGTTGCTTATGCTTATCAAAAACTAAGATAAAAAAAACAACGTAGTATCACTTCAGACACAATAATAAGAATAAGCGAATGGACAATCTTTTTGTAATGATTTTTAAAAAGAAAAGGCAGTTTTATATGAAAAAATAAAGTGATTAACCACATTTTTAGAGAGAAAAGACACAGCTCCACTCCTGTCCTATCCCCAAATATAGTTCAAATGTGGGTATTCTGCCTTAGGCAAATGAAAACAAATGTGAAATATACTGTAATATGGCATGAGGTATCATCAAATTTTATGTGATGAATAACGTGAAAACTCAAGAGTGACCATAAAATCAATCCATCATCCTGAAGTTGATCTACAAAGTGACACACCTGTATTTTTGCAATTGATGCAAAGTCAGGGGTGGGTGTGGAGAGTAGAAGTGTGATTTAGAGTTTCCAGTGTTTTTGTAAATTAAAAAGAAACCCACAATTATTTGTCACTTTTTGTTTTCATATCACTGACATATTTTATCTAAAAACAATTAACCTAAACAGTTTTTCTTGACTGCATTTTTAAAGACATAGTTAATAAATGACAATCTTTAATTTCCCCTTGTGACCATTTACTAAGAAAAATGAAATGTGAAACTGAACACTGAACCGATTTCCAAAATTTTGTTTGGAAAGGGAAACCTCTGGAGACTCTCTTAATCCCAACTGATAATGTCAACTTCTAATTGGCTTGAGTGAAATTTGGCTAAATGATTCTTCCAGACATCTGTAACAGACACATTTAATTTCATTTGTCCAAATGCCATGTTTTCATACTTTCATTTTTCTCCTAGGGCATTTCTCTTGTACTTTGTTGTTTACAGTCCTGTTCTTGTCTATCTGCCATTTATTAAGAATATAAAAATGACATTAATATACAATCTCCCACATTTTAACAGAAGTCTGATTCACAATCTCATAACCTTACCAGTATTTGAGTCACCCTAGGACAGCTTATTGGGTGTATATAGTAATGTCATTACTAATGATCCATTTAGGATTCTTGATTGTATCCTCAGTTTTAGCTAATATGCTCCCCCAATGCAAAACTAAAAGTACAAATCAAACTCTATATAAGAAGTAAATCCAATCTTTAAAAAAAAAAAATTGTCTTTCTATATTCTCCCTTTAGTGGCCTATTCCTTTTCCCCATGTGACATGGTCATTTTTGTTCTGATTTAAAACTCACTGATATCATCTTGAATACTTTCTTATATACTCATCTTCTTCATAAAAAAAAACACAAAAAACAACAATAACAACAACAAATTGAGCATCCATGACCATGAGATCACATTAGGAAATCTCTGATCTTGTTTGGAGGGCGCCTCAGAGACAACTGGTCAATTCTTTTGAACACTGTTGATATTCTGGTTTCTCAAAATAGATTTTTCTGGAAGAAAAAGAAAAACATGCCATTATGCATGGTCTACTTACAACAATTTTGTGGTTTGTCGCTGTTTTTTGGAAGTAATATTTGGGTGGGGTTTTTGATGATCAGTTCCTACGTAGGGTCTAGCAACCGCATTTCTTCTCTGCTGGTTTTTCCCCATCTAGCTTTCCAGAGTCTCCACCATTGACAGTGTCGGGGACCTGTGTCTTCTCTACACACTGTTCCATTCGCTTCATGATTAAGTCCAGAAGGGTTTCCACAGCTTTCTCCACATTCTGGCCAGTCGCGGCACTTGTTTCAAAATATGGCATGCTTGCATCGAAGAGAGGACACATATTTTTGAGAGGAAGAAATCAGAAAAGACACAACAAGATGTACAAATGAGTAACACAGGCAAAAACATGGCTGGCTGAGAGATGGTGAAATAATCACGGTTTAGCCCACTGAGTTGGAAAGCATCTTGTTTTTTCTCAGTGAGTAAAAATTGATGGGCTGCTTTCTCGTATGGGTATAACCGATTTTATGGACAAGGAAACGGATATAGGAGGTACTTAGGCATTTGAAGCTAAGGCATTATCATTGTTTCACAAAAAAATTAAGAGGGTAGAAATACCTAAACTAGTGATAAATCTTACCATTAAAATATCACTTCCCTTCTAATCAATTATCTGGAAATTCGACTTAGAAATTAAGCAGGCACTGAATAGGAGATACATGTAAATAGTCTATGGAATCAAAAGTTACACATTTTTAAAGCTCTCAAGGAAAAGTCTTCCAGAAGAAATTGGCAGGTATGATGAAACTGCTTTAAATTTAAAGTCTGTGTTGGCAGTCAACTTATCATTGTAGGAGGGTATTTAATTTTTTTTTTTTAATCTGCCACTTAGGCTCAGCTAGGATGAGGATTGCAGTATCATGTCCTGGTCAGGTGTTAGTTCTTAGAGTTTTACAGCTCTTAGTGGAAAGGCAATAAACTATCATGTTGGAGATCATGAGCTCTGATCTCAGACTGCCTGAGTTGAATTCAAGCTCTGCTACTTACTAGCTACATGGCCTCCCATCAGTTACTTAATCCTTCTATGCCTCAACTCTTCGTATATAAAATGGGATGACTCTAGCTCCCCTATGTATGATTATGGGGGGTTAAATGAGTTAAAGTCTAGGGACAGTTGTTAGCACCTAAGTATTCAGCAAATGTTAGCTGCTATTACTAGTAAGGACTTGATTTAAAAGATCACATACATTCCCCTGGAAGATCGTTTTCATTCATGCGCCATTACTGATTCAAGGGGATTCCTCCCAGCATCAACCTCATGTTCCTGCTCCATTACTAAGTAGCAGTGTGCAAGGTCAGATGACATCTCCGTGTCAATGACTTACCCGTATTTGTCAGCCAGGTCCCGCGCTTGCCTTTCATTGACTTCCCTCTGGTCTGGCAGGTCTGCCTTGTTGCCAATTAATACTATATCTGGATTTTCACAATAAGCATTTGCTTGCAGTTGGCCTTAGGAAGAAAGCAGATGGACCGAGCACGTTAGTTATAAACAAGTAATGTCAAATGACTGCTCATACTTTGAGTTCCTTTTCTTTTTTTCATACTTCAAATTCCTAATTTAATTGTTCACCTCCAGCATGGCTGCTTGCTAGTTATATCATATTAGTCAAGTTACTTCACTTTACTCAACTGCAGCTTCCTCATCTATAAAATGAATGAAGATGATGCCTCAAAAATTGCAGATTGTGAATATGAATAATGATAGATATGAAGCACCTAGATGATCACCTATCAGTACTCTTGAATACCTGGGGACATGTCCTCCAAGATGGACATACTGCTTCAGACTATTTGTTCTTCAAATATATGTAGAGATAATAGAACAGGAATTTTAAGTGTGTAAGTTTGCTCTTTCCTTTAAGAGGCTGCTACATTTTTTTTTAAGTGGGCTCCACACCCAACATGGAGCCCAATGCAGGGCTTGAACTCATGAACCTGAGATCAAGACCTGAGCTGAGATCAAGGGTCAGATCTTAACTGACTGAGCCAACCAGGTGCCCCACGGCAGCTACATTTCTATCTCCTGAAGTCCAAAGTGAAGACCTATTAGAATAGAATGTTTCCGAACCACCACAAATTTATGCAGAAACAATTTTAAGACAGGTGATTGTTTTTCTTTTTCTCCAGGATACACTGTGCAAAAGAGAGAAGAAAGAGGGAGAGAAGGTGGGAGGGATGGAAGGAAAGAAGGAAGGATGAAGAAGGGTTGGGGGAGGGAGGGAACAAGGAAGGAAGGAAGGAAAGAAGGAAGGAAATGATAAAAAATCTGTCAACCCACATTTTTGAAGTTATGGGGATTACTTTAATTTCTATTTCAAGGCATGCTGTATGCAACTTTGCTGAGGAGGACGACAAGGCTTACCCTTTAACACTGATTATTTGGGTGTTAAAAATTGAAGTGTTATGAGACATGCCAATTAATTATCTTAAATCCCAATAGTATTCTTCTGGATCTTTTTTTAAATAAGGAAGAATTTTATCTGCTTTGATAAAGAATGAACAAATCATTCTCTGAAAGAATCTAATAATCTTATTATCTCTTTATCTCCTCAGAATCTAATAATACCACCAAAATTTAGAGAAAGAAATACAATAATAAAAGGAAATAGAGATAAATCCTAGGATAAACACTCAGTTGGGAGAACCAACGAAGGAAGTCAGAATTTGTTGATATTTGTCCCCATGGTAGCAACTGTATTATTGAACTAACTTTTAAAGCAGTTATATGTATTAATTATAAATATATAATAATAAGAAATACATGTTTTTTGAGTATCTGTTCTGTGCCAGACACTAATCCCAGCTTTGGGTTATTGCGATGGAACAAAGCCAACAAAGTCTGTACTTTGATAGAGCTCACTTTCTAGTGGCAGAGAGTCAAAAGGACAAGTAAGCAAAGAAATACATATGTCAGGTGGTGGCAGTGATAAAAGGGAATATAAAGTGTACTGAGGAGATACAAAGTAGTGAAGCATACTAGTTTATTTTTTAAAGATTTTATTTATTTGAGAGAAAGTATGCATGTGCCCGCGCGCACACAAGCGGAGGGGAGGGGCAAAGGGAGAGGGAGAAGCAGACTCCCCCCTGAGCCCAATGCGGGGCTCGATCCCAGGACCCTGAGATCATGACGGGAGCGGAAGGCAGACGCTTAACCGACACGGAGCCAGCCAGGCACCCTGAAGCATACTAGTTTAGACAGGTGGTCAGGGAAGGCTTCTTCCAAGAGGTAAAGTTTGAACAAACCCTTGAAGGAAGTGAGAGAACTGTCACACTCCATAAATGGGAGAAGAGAGATTGAGGCAGAGAAAATCAGAATGTACAAAAGCCACAAAGTAGGGAATGTGCCTTTTGTCCTGGGAATAGCAGGAGAGACGTTTGGTGGGAGGCCAGTGAGCTGGGACAGATGAAGAGTAAATTACACAGGAATCTAAGGCCTTATCACCAAGGCCTTACAGGTAAGTGGAGGATTCTGGATTTTATTCCAAGTGAGTTGGGAGGTCCCAGAGGGACTCTGAGCAGGGGAATAACGTGATCCAGTGTTTTTTTTTTTTAAAGATTTATTTATTTATTTATTTGAGGGAGAGAGAGAACGAGTGGGGGGAGGGGCAGAAGGAGAGAGAATCTTAAGCAGACTCCCCACTGAGCGAGGAGCCTGACTCGGGGCTCAATCCCATGACCCCAAGATTATGACCTGAGCTGAAATCAAGAGTCGGATGTCCAGGGCGCCTGGGTGGCTCAGTTGGTTAAGCGACAGCCTTCGGCTCAGGTCATGATCCTGGAGTCCCGGGATCGAGTCCCGCATCGGGCTCCCTGCTCGGCAGGGAGTCTGCTTCTCCCTCTGACCCTCCCCCCTCTCATGTGCTCTCTCTCTCTCATTCTCTCTCTCTCAAATAAATAAATAAAATCTTTAAAAAAAAAAAAAAGGAGTCGGATGTCCAACCGACTGAGCCACCCCAGTGCCCCAGTACAATCCAATTTTTAAAAAATATCCCCCTGGCCACAGACTGCCCCAACAAATCTAGAAATGGCAAGCCTATCACCAGTCCATAGGACTGCTCATATATCCCATTAGGATAAAAATTCTTAGGTATAATAAAAATGCAAATCAAGTATTCCCTTTAGTACTACACAATTTTTAGAAAAGGAAAATCAAATACTACTTTCCTATGCTGACATAGATCAATCTGTCTTCAATAACTGACTGGGCTACTTTTAACTTATGTCTAAATTGTAAGATTTTTCATTTTAAGTCTTCCTTACATTTGAACTTTTTTTTTCCAAAAAAGTAAAATTTCAATGTGAGCTGATTGACACACTGACCTTATCTTCATGTGGCTGGTCTGCTCTGGAGCAGTTTCTCACCAAATTAACCATCCGTTAATTGATCCATTAGTTAACCGGTGCGCAAGGGCATACATTTTTAGGTGCCTGTGTACCCTCTCAGAAAACACTGCTGCTTTTCTTTCTCTCCTTTCCAGATTAGATGTAGTAGCTCACATATTTGTAAGAAGTCCTTTAAGACTTACTGGATAAGTGGAATTAATAGCCTTTCAACTGTAATAATAAAGACCTTGAATATTATATATTATTATATATATAGGCTGTGAGAGCTATGCAGGCTTCTTCTAAGAGTGTCAAAGGAAGGTATGATCCCAAGCCACCTTCGGTGAGCCACCTATCGCCCATCACTTTGAAGGTGACACAGGAAATGCTAAACTCATGGATTCCCAAGGTTAATCTGGGGAACCCAATCCGGTTTCATGTTGGGAGGCGAAGAAGCAAATAGAGCTGTTGGGGCCCAAAGTGGCCAATGCAAGTGACTTGGTCCCACTTACTCATCCAGTTTCTGACATTTAAGAAGCTCTGTTGACTGGTGAGGTCAAACATTAATAAGAAACCCATGGCATCTCTGAAAAATGCAGTGGTGAGGCTCCGGAATCTGCCAAGAAAGCACAGTGGATAGTTCTGGAAGTTAGCCCATAAACATACGATGACAGTACACACAACACCATTTCCCTTTGAAATGTGAAATCCCCATGGCATCCCTTATGGATTCTCCTACAGAATAAGAGAGTTGGCAGAAAGATTGCTGGAGGATCATGGAAGGGCATCTGGTTGTAGACCTTTCTTAGGACCACATCCTGGCTTTATGGCCTATGGCACTTACGCACACAGAGTTTGTAACATTCAATCACATGATGGCTTACACAGCCCCTTGGACTCTTTCTCTTGTTGGGTCACAGATATCTTGTGGTCACAGTTATGATAGAAGCCACTTTCAAATGGGGACTTTATATTTTTCAATCTCCCTTGTCTGTGCCTAGAAGAAAGCTTGGCATTTAGTAGCCTAAAAATGAATGCCTGTGATTATGTACAGAAAACCACAACTTGGGCGCCTGGGTGGCTCAGTCGTTAAGCGTCTGCCTTCAGCTCAGGTCATGGTCCCAGGGTCCTGGGATCAAGCCCCACATCGGGCTCCCTGCTCTGCGGGAAGCCTGCTTCTCCCTGTCCCGCTCCCCCTGCTTGTGTTCCTGCTCTCACTATATCTCTCTCTGTCAAAAAAATAAATAAAATCTAAAAAAAAAAAAAAGAAAGAAAACCACAACTTGTTAGCAACTGAAACTGGGGTTCTTTTGCAGGGAAAAAACAACATTGATGAGAAGATTCTTTTATAAGCACTGTGGGGGTAAAGCTGAATTTTAGTCTGGCATCCATGTCTCATGAGGAAGAGGGAAAAACACTGAAGAAAGGAGGAAGAAGAAGATGCTTAGGGGAAGCAAGACAAAGTCAGAGAGATGTAGTAGTTGGAGACAGAAAGCAAGAACGCTCATCTCTACTGGAGGATTTTGAAGAATACACTCTGTCATTTGTTGTGTAAAGACTTCTCTCCTCTGCTCCAACCTCCTCCACCCCAAACTCTTCAGTAAAATTGAAGGTGTGCTGAGATCCACTTCAGTGGCAGGAATGGGCAAAACCAGAGACCATACAGAGGGACCAGAGAAGGTTTGGGTTATACTGATACAGAACTGAATTTGGAAAGGGGTTTTTAGAAAGGCACAGAACTTTGAAATACAGACTATCACTTCCTATCCTAAATGTCCTCCTAATTTTTGGTCTCCTATTTTAGCCTATTTGTGGATTCTTTGGTTTCCTTGGAGTTCTATTCTCAACCCCTTCCCACTATACATACATTCACTGAGTGAGTAATCTCATCTACTTCCCTGGGCTCAATCATCACCTATATGTTGAACCCCAAATGAACAGGCGTAGATTTGTCCTGTCATTCACACTGTGTGCCCAATTACATGTTGTGTGTTTCTGGTTGGAGGAAACTGAGGCACCTCTAACTTCACGAGTCTAAACCCAACCTGGCCCCTCCTCCTGATCTCTTCTCCTATCAATGCATCACCATCTTTGGGGTAAGCATGGCTTCTTTCTCCTTCACCTACTGTATATAATCACCAAGCATCTCCTGACCTTGTCATTTCTGTCCATCTACTCTAGTTTTGAGCCTATCCTCTTTTATCTGAATATTTTCAACCATCTTCTTAACAGGCTTCTTGTCTCCAGTTTTGTTTGGGACCCTCCCCTTCACCGATCCCTTCCTGCTGACTATATAAATCCTCTGCTACAAACATCTAAATGATGCTCTTAAGATAATGACTGAACTCTCTAATATGCTGTCAGGCTCTGCGTGAATTAACCCTTGCTCATCTATCCAGCTTCATCTCCTGACTACCCATAGGCATGCTGATCTTTTAGTTCTTAGAAAGTTCACTCTCCCCCTAAGCTCTCACACATGCTGTTCTTTCTGTGGGTAACCTGGCCTTAATGCTTCCTCTACGTCCTACCTCTTTAGCCTGGATAAGACTCACTCACTCATACGTTGTGTATGACTGTATGTTATATATACATAACAGTCTCAGAGGAAATAGCACCTTCCCAAGCTGCCTTCCTAATACCCACATCTGGGTTATAGGCTCCTTCTGGTGCACCTGCCCATCACCTGTTGTTTTCCTGGCACTGTCCTAAGGCTGTATTGCAATTGTTTGTTATCTGTTCAAATTCCACTCTAGACTTGTGAGCTCCAACAGGAAAGGAGTTATGTTTCTTTTTTTTTTAAAGATTTTATTTATTTATTTGAGAGAGAGAATGAGAGAGAGAGCACATGAGAGGGGGGAGGATCAGAGGGAGAAGCAGACCCCCTGCTAAGCAAGGAGCCCGATATGGGACTCGATCCCGGGACTCCAGGATCATGACCTGAGCCGAAGGTAGTCGCTTAACCAACTGAGCCAGCCACCCAGGCGCCCAGGAGTTATGTTTCTAATTTGCTATCCACTATATCTTCATGGCCTTGAACATATTTGCTCACAAAATGTTTGTCAAATTAAGAGAAAGAAAAAAAGAGAAAGAGAATAGCAAAGGATATTCAAGTATTAAAGATGTCAATGACTTCAGTAGAGAACAATTCTTTTAATACCAAAGCAAAGAGAATAGATATTTTAATGACTATTTCCAAATTTGATTTTTTGGTAAGGCATTAATCATGATAATTATGAAATACCAAAAATTTTTTCTTGTGGAATTGTTCCTACCAGTTGCTGGAAGCTCACAAAGATGCTTTTACTGAAGTTTTCTTTCTCTTTGGGGACTAGCTGCATTCACAAAACTGTCTCCTTCTCAACTACAATAGTGTGGCTAAGACAACTGCTCTCTGTTCTCTCCCAAAAAGAGAGAGAGAGGGAGAAAGAGAGAGAATGTGTCTGTGTATGTCTCATTTAAGGACAAGACTGTGCCATAGCCCCCTCTCATTGCCCATAACACATGAGAAAGTCATTTTTTTTATGTTAATGGCCTTTTTATTGGGAAAAAAAGGCTAGCACTTACAACTTGAAGTGGATATAAATTCTGATTTCTCGAACAGCATTGCTGATGGTTGTGCTGAAGTCCACACTCACAGCCTACTCTGCTGGCTCCAAGTCATGGCTCAGAAGGTTTTAAAAACAGAGTGCAAAGACGCTCGCTTGGTACAGGTTTCATTTTTTTTTAAGATATTTTTTATTTATTTATTTGACAGAGAGATAGAGCACAAGTAGGCATAGCGGCAGGCAGAGGGAAAGGGAGAAGCAGGCTCTCTGCTGAGCAGGGAGTCCAATGCGGGGCTCCATCCCACGACCCTGGGATCATGACCTGAGCTGAAGGCAGACGCTTAACCGACTGAGCCACCCAGGGGCCCGGTAAAGGTTTCATTTTAAAAAATTTGTGTTAATGGTGATGGCCTGACACCCATTTCACTGCAGGACACTGCAGACAATGCTAAATCAACACACGCAGCATGGGATGAGTGTCATTGTCACCATGGGGGGGAGGGGCACACGGAAGTACAAGAGGGCCATTCTGCTTAGTGGGGCTACATTACTTTTAAAACATGCTTGTCGTGTGGATCTCACTGGGGTAAACATTTTTGCATCTACAGCAACATGGATAGGACATTCTTGTTCTAGAACAGGTTATATCCTAGACCATTCTGCCCAGCACCCTTGTTATTCCCCTTTCTTCCCAAGGTGACTCCAGGGGAAAGGTAATTGATTTCCAGCTTTATTCACCAATCTCATTCTGTCCAGTGAGTCAGTAGGGTGGGAAAAGCTGGGACCACATTAAAAAAAACAAAAAACAAAAAACAAAAACAGATCCCAGAGTCACATTATTACTTTCTCCCTCACTGGGAACTAAGGCTGTGTCCTGTATCCTTGAGGTTTACATAAGGGGTATGATTTTTCCTCGTTCCATGATACCACTTTTATCAATAACCATAATCTTATATGGGTTATACTGCCAGATGTTTTTAGGCACAGGGCTGAGGTGTGAGACACTGTTTATCTTGTTGCATAGTTACACCTTAGTTTATACAGAATGCAAAATTCTCGAGGGATGAATCACCTCCGTGGTACTAAGACTGTCCCTAGTTTTCCTCACTTCCCTCAGAGAGCAGCCGTCTTAGGGGGGCAGAGGGGAGAAGCCTACCATCATGTGAGGCTGACATATCATGTGTGAGGACATATGGGAGCCACATTTTCTCATATTACTTCTTCAAAAGTGAATTAAATTGGTCTATGAAACATACATCTTTGTGACAACAAAACTGACATATGGACAGAAATTCTTGTGAGGAATGACTTCAGAAGAACTAGCCGTGTTGAAGAATGTGTGTAAATGGAATTCACAGTCAAAAGAGCTAACGGAGAGGGCCCAGCACCTCTCCTGGCGTTTACACTCACTGAAAGCGAGAACACTTTGGACGCATTTCAAAAACTAAAGTGTTTACAAGCATAAACATTCTAAGACATGTGATGCAGAATTTGGAGGTATGTGCCTTCTAAACATCTTCTCTGACAATCTACTGCCAATTTTTTTTAATCTGATATTGAAAAGCTTCACTAGCTTGTGGTCTTTAGCCCTTTGAAACCTTGGATCTCAAAGAAACATCTTTTTCTCCAGCTCTAAGCAAACAACACTCCTGTCTTCTGAGCTTCTCTTGCCTTGGACATCGTACCAGAGAAGATGCTAGAAAACCAAGCATGGTCTCTGCCCCTGGTATGCTGACAATTTTGTTGGGGTAAGAAGGCCACAGGTGAATCGAAGAACCACAGTTACAGACAAAAACCAAAGATTTGCCTTCTTACAAGGTGGTATTTAATTAATCGAGTAGCTTAAGGGATGGTGGGATAGGCGTAGGAGTTCACAGAAAGAGGGAGTTTGTCTCAGACGGGCATTTAGAAAGGCTCCACAGAGGAGGTGGTCCATGAGCCAGGCCTGGTGAAAGGAGAGGATCAGGGAGGGTGGGGAGGGAGGGAAACATTCTAGCCAGAGAGCAATGGTGTGACCCAAATCTTAGAAAACTAAGCCAGTCAAGAGGCACAGGACATACAGTCTGTGCAAAAGAATGGAAAAACTTGGGAACGGTCTTACCACCCCTTCTTCAATTCCCTCTCCAGGTTGCACTTGTAATCATGTTAATTTCCCACTTTAATTTAATTAAATTCTAGAGAAGGTTGTTTTTTTTTTTTCTATTAGAAAGTACAAAGACAACATATAACAAGGATCTCCAGAGACTGCTAAAGATCTGATTTTTGAAATCTGTACCAAATCCACAATGCTAGTTATCATTAATTAACTATAAATAATTTATTTTCATTTCTTGACATAAATGTCTATTTTAGAACCAGGAGAAGAGTTGTACAACATTTGCTTTTCAAGTCCACGTACAGCATTCACTTTAAAAGAAGTTTTTCTTGGCTGTTTGTGGCTAGAAACAAAGTAATTTACTATTACCTCTCTTGGCCGGCAGTGTCCCAAAGCTGAAGATGCACTTTAAAGGCTTTCCCTGATGATCCATTTGGTCCCTGGGTATTATAAACCTAAAAGATACAATTTTCATCAGTTGATATTACTTTGGATTTTGTAAACATTCAAATTCTCTGGGTTCACTCAGCATGTTTTTTCTCAATTACTATAATCAAAGTTCATAGTGCAGAATAAATATTTGCTCTGTTTTTTCCAGAAGTATCACATATACTCTCACTTTTAAATGTCAAGTACAAGTATGATTTTCAACACAATTTAGGCATACTGCAAACTTAAATTAGACACCTTCTGTCATTTCCTCACGGAGGCAGCAAACATTAGATTTAGGACCCAAGTTCTAGGTTCGAATATCAACCCTTCATTTCACTTCTTTGAATCTTATTTTCAAATAGCAAACTGAGACCCACAATCTCTTCCTACTTTACAGAGTTACTGCAAAAATAAATGACATAACAGATGTGAACGTACTTTTAAAATGCTAAAATGCTTTACTAATACCAGAATATCTTTTGCTATGACTTGGACTTCCAAAGTGACCTACCCATAAAATATACACAGAATTTCTCAATAAGTTTACACAAGATATTTCAAGTCTTCCTTTATTCGCCGTTTTTTCCAAGGGCTCTTTTTCTTAATGTTTAAATTTTCAAAATTATGGCCTTTTGGCTTCTTATTTAAGCAAAGCCTAACAACTTTAATACTTCATCGGCTCCCCTAAGTATGGTTTAGTAGAGATGTTTAAAGTGTGGTTTAGCTTAAGCACGGTTTAGTAAAAAATGTTTAAAGGGAAAACTTTGCAAGGACTTATCTTCCTAGGTCAGTGGAGGCATTTGGGAGGGGTGAAGTCACAAGAAAACCCTGGAGGGGTTGGAAGCCAGGTTGCTAAGACCACACTAAAATGTACTGACCTTCAGATAAGGTACAGGATGTATACGGAACCATGATTTAACTTCTCAACCACGATTTCCTTTTCTCCCCCCACCAAGTCTCGAGCAAAGAGTAGATTTGTGACATCAGCTGGAAGCGTCAGCCATGTTGGCAATCAAGAATACCTTGGGCGGCAGGAAATCTGGCTGAGTTAAGTGTCTATGCTACACGTCTCACATGTCATAATATCCTTATTCCTGTCATTAGAGTCTAGCATAGGAGAAGAAAGCAGTTGTAATTCTCACTTAAACTCCCTTATCTTGGAAAATAGCATGGACTGGTCTCACATTCTGTTCATAATAAGCTAGTGATTGATAGCTGAGTCTACACATAAATAAAAATGCAGCGAGGACTTACAAAACTCACGTTCCAGCTATTTGCCAATCATTCTCTTAACTTCTCTCTGAAGAGTTGAGAAATGAACACTAGTTCTTATTGAGAAACTTAACTCAGACCAAGAGTTAAGGGCTTTGCAACCCGGATCATTCAAGTTTTGAAAGATTCCTAGAGAATTCATAGAAAACACACTATATAAACCCGTGAATTATTTCTTTGTCCTAAACGCTTTTGGAGACAGGTGATAGTGCCACTCCAGATTTTTCTGAGCAAAATGTTATTTATAATTGAGAACATTAAGAATATTCTAAATTGAATCAAAGTGACAGGTTATGAATTTCCTGTGATAAAAGGCAGACACCTTGCAATGCAATAAACATAGCTTCTTAATTCTATTTTATATGGAGGGGGGTAGAAATAAGCAACAAGGTTAACATAACAGAATGGTTAAAAACTCACCACACGTTTTTCCCGAAAGTCTATTCCTACTGTTGTGATAAACTTGGGATTGAATTTATTGTCTGTGTATCGATAAAGAAATGTCGTCTTCCCCACCCCCGAATCTCCAAGGGCCAGGAGTTTGATCAGATAATCATAGTCCCCATCGGTCATAGTGATAGTCTTGGTGGGCCTGTGTAGGAGAGGAAAAACAGTAGGTTATAATAAAAATCAGTTTCCCTCTGCCTTCCTTCAAAACACAACATAAACGTACATTTCAAGGTTAAAATAGTTGAATACTTCTATTCTGTCAATTCTGAATTAACTTATTCAGAGCAGCTCCAGGAGTAAGGGCACCTCTATTATTTCACTCAGTACAAATCTTTTTACATCACATCAGTTAATATGGAACAAAAAGCTATCTGGTTCCCACAATAGCCATTGCCACAGTGGTAGTAGAACTTAGCCACAGGTTTTAGTTTTAAAGCCAATGCCCTTTGCGGCCAGGAGGATGGTGCCAGGAAGAGAAGGAGGTCACAGGAAACAGAAAAGCCTGCCCAAGTTGATGCAGGTAGACTAGGGAGAGACTGAGATTACATATGGGTAGTGGAAGAGAAAAGCCTAAGGAAACATTTTGCATCTAATCATGCATAATGAGCCTCCTATTATGTGCATGCAAAATATTCCTTTTTAATTTAAAAAATTTAACAACTGAGATGACAACCTTTAAAAACATTGATTTGAAATCATTTCAAAAGCAGTGTCTAAAAATCTTCTGTTTTGAAATACCAAAGCCTCTGTTCTCCAATGGCAAATCTGCTGTATTTGGCAAACCTGCTGAATATTTTCCAGACCTTGAAAAAGGAGAAAAGCTAGTAAGAGGCATGACTATGGTAATTTTGCTAGTATTTCTCCTGCTTGAAAGAATGCCATTTGTCATTTTTCCCATTGTCCTGACCTCCTTTGCCTCAGTCTTAATTTCTTCTGTTGTTACAATGACTACGGATGAGGTCATGGGCTAATGCCAAGAACACCTGCACTGGGGATACCTTTGAATTATACTATCACCTACTGAATACATAATGAGGTTTCCACTCCAGAGGTCAGCGAAATGATTTGCCATTTGATAAAACTTTCTGATTCATGAGTTGTAGAAACAGGTTTATGATAGCCCCACATAGAGGAAGGCCTATAAAGAAGTTCCTAGAGAAGTATCTTTCCTATTATATGAACGGGCAGAATATATTTTCCCACCTTTACAGATCCAGAAAACATCGTACTCTTCAGTTCTGGGACGATTAAAATTAAATTTCAACAAGTCATCCCATAGACATATCTAAAAATTGCTAGATAATTCTAATCATTTTCTATCTGTACGAAAATGATGCACATGTTCATCACTTCAAATAAAACTTTATTTTATACGTAGTCACTTTAGTTAGTTATCAAAACTAAAAGGTTTCGTGTCTTTGGATAAATAATGATGAAGATGATAATTAGGTACTTAGCAAATCAGTATCATTACATCATTTGGAAGATTGGCAAATTTTTTACATTAGAATTTTCTAAAATTTGAACCATCCTCCTGCTAAATCCTGTTAAATATATTATGGGTGTATGTTTCTTTAATTAATGAAGTGTTTTGTGTTAAAGCGTTCTGAGAGCTGCCAATATGCACTTCTATGCTAAAGCTCTCCTCCTTATAATATGCTTTCTTCACTGAGTAGGACTCTCACGGTGAATGTTTTCTGACAATGAATGTTCTCTCTTTTATTGTTGTTGCTTTTGTTTAGTATCTATACAAAGTATAATCATTGCTCAGGAAGAAGTGCTTAGCTTCCATCAACAACCAGCCTTCCTCAATAAAAGGATGCAGGTATCTCAAGTATTGACCTGAAATTCTTCTTGGAAAATGTCTTCATTGACTGACTACCTAGCAGTGACTAGTTCTGAGTTCAGATGGTTCTAAATATCTTACCAGGACTTTATAGTTGAAGATGCTGCTGTTCCTAGTCTTTGAACCAAATGGATTGCTAGAGAAGACTGCTGTCAAAATAGTATCATTTCCCCCCATTTGGGTCTATCTGGGCCACCATTACTTGACTTTCTTCTCTCTTTGTCTCCCAAACTTGCTCCTGGGCAACTCCTCTGAAAGGTGATAAAGTCTGTCATTTCACTAGCAGAATTGGATGAAACTGCTAATTCTCTTGGGAAAGAAGGATTATATTTATTCTGAGATATAAGTGACCAAAGCTAAATTCTTCCTGTTGGCAGGGAGGAAATTAAAGTTACTGGCTGCCTAAATACAAGACAAAGTTGGAGGATACTGTGGTCCCCTGGCCTGGAAAAATGAAAATAATAGAGTCAAGAAGATATATCAGCATACTTTCAATTTTTGCTTAAAGTTAACTATGTTTTTTGCAGTATTTTTTTGTGACAGAGTTAAGAAAAGCTAAATCTTGAGCAAATCTAGTTAAATATCTTCAATATATAATATCAGGTCCAAAAAATGAAAATTTTAAAAATGTAATTTATAATCTAGTATCTGATAAGGCATGCTTACACTTAAAGATGCAAAAAGAAAAAATACAACATAGTTTCACAAGATGGGGAACATGATTAATTGACAGATGAGTCAAATAGTTGTGCTTTTAGTTCAAACAAAACAGTAACCTTCATGGGCTGCAGTGGTCTGAGAAGATTTTGTAGAGGAAGATGAACTTGTATTTAATCTTATAACAAAGGGAGGAATTACCTATGTGGAAAGAAGATACAGGAGCACTGCATGGGATATGACTTCCCACTTGTAGAATGAGATGATCACTACTTGCCAGCTACATGACCTACCAGGTATTCCTGATCTGCAATTTGTTTTCTGTTGTTGGTACATAAACTTGCCAGGGGCAATACTGACTTGCCTCCCAGTCAGGCTCTAATCCAGAGTGAACAATTGGCTAACCATGGATTGATTTCACTGTGGCTCACACTGGCTCTTTTCTGTAAGTGAATGGTTGTGGATACTTTGTGGCATTGAACAAAAAGCCCACCTGAAATGAATGCAAAGCTTGGCACCATAGAAAACCTTTATTTAGTGTCTCCAGTAGACTCTTTAAAGAAATTGACAAAGTAAACTCAACATGAGATCATTTGCCTTTTAAGTTTCTTTTGAAAATGCATTTTCTCATTTTTATATCACTACACATGTATAGTTACTTAGTTTGGTTCCGCTTTTATTACCATGCGATTTTCTGAGTCCTAAAATCATATGACCTCAATATTCTATCCTTGGCCCGGCAAATATGACAGCGCAAAGAAAAATAAAAACCTTGGCAAAGTTCCCTTTTCCAAGAACTGAGCTAAAAAAAAGATCTGGGAAGGATCAAAAAGCTGACAAGTTTAGCAGTATTTATTCCTACACAATGATTGATGGTCTTGTCAGCTCTTCCTTTATGGATCTAAAAGTAAAGAAAAAGCCAGAAGATTGCTGTACTTCAGGAAACATGTCTGACTTTCTCCCTTTATCACTGTGTCACAAGCTAAACTACAAGAGCCAGGAGGTCTTTTAGATATAGAAACCGAGAGATCAGCCTCCGAGCCCCTCATGGGAAGGTAAGGGGCTGGGAAGAGTAGGAAAAAGAATCCAAAACACTTGTGAGGCTCTACTTAATGAAGAGTCTCAAAGGTAGAAGGAAATCTAAATAACCCTGTGGTCTAATCCTCAGTTTACAGATGAGAAGTCATGAGCACAGAAGTTATGTGATTTGTGGGTTGAGAGTTTCTAACAACAACAAAAAAACCCCAAGACTATGGTTTGTTATAATTTGAAATGAAAAGTGGATTAGATAGGTAGAAAGTAGAAATATTTTCATTCTATAGGGGAAGGGAATTTTCTCTGGTTATTGACAGGGACGTGATTTTCATAGTTAGACTATATCAAATGAGGCTGCCCACAGTTTCTTTCTCTCTTTTTCCCCACTGCTATGCCTCATTCTTGTTCAACATAAATCCCATTTGCTCAGAATTTAATCTCCTTTGTCCACTGCTGGATCCAGAGTCCAATACAGTGGTTGGCATGTATTAGGGGATCAGTACACATGTGTTGAGCATTGGAGCCATGCAAATGTCACAATTAATGAAATTAATCTTTGACCAGTTGGTGGAAGTGGAGTCCCTCCAAGTTCAGGACTTACATTCTCCTTCCTTCCTCAATTGTGAAGGGACTATTTAGATTAAATGATCACTGTGGGACCTTCCGGGTCTGGCTTCCTGAGCTCATTTTTCTATTTCTATAAAAACCTTCTCAAAATAGAATACTTGTATCTTCAGAGAAGCAGTTTCAAATAACCTAGGAAAAGAGAAAGCACAGAGGGACTGTAATTTTTGGACATGAGATCTGTATTGGCAGAGAGCATATAAACTTGTCAGTTGAATAGGTCAGGGCTCAGAACTGGGCTTCTCCATGAAAGCACCCATTCGCCCATCTAACACATACTCACTGGCACCCCATAATTTGCATGATATTCTGTATGACTCTGAGGATATACTCTGTTTTCTCTAGAGGGAAGCTTAACAAACAAACACTACAGATATGTATGGATGACTACCATACAGGTGGACTTACCCATGCAAATTTAAGACGTTCTTTGCTAGTTCTCCAGCTAATAATCTTAAAAATGCCATGACAAGCTTTATGACCCTGTGACTTGAACTTATTAAATTAATAAAAACCAAGTTAATATTCTTTTTTAAAAATATTTTATTTATGGGATGCCTGGGGGGCTCAGTCGGTTGGGCATCTGCCTTCAGCTCGGGTCATGATCCTAGGGTGCCGGGATCGAGCCCGCATCGGGCTCCTTGCTCAGCGGGGAACCTGCTTCTCCCTCTGCCTGCCGCTCCCCCTGCTTGTGCTCTCTCTCTCTCTCTCCCTCTTTCTCTCTCTCTCTCAAATAAATAAATAAAATCTTTAAACAAAAAAATCTTTTTAAAAAAATAATTTATTTATTTATTTATTTGAGAGAGAGAAAGAGGAGAGAGATGGAGAGAAAGAGCATGAGCGGGGAGAGGGGCAAAGAGACAAGCAGACTCCCTGCTGAGCACAGAGCCCAACACAGGGCTCGATCCCAGGACCTTGAGATCATGATCTGAGCTGAAGTCAGACGCTTAACTGACTGAGCCACCCAAGGGCCCCAAAAC